CGCAGTAGATGCAGATACAAATCTGTGAATCCGTAGATTTCATTGGAGTAGCACATGTTGAACTCAGCGCATGCGCAAGCTGGGATAACAATCTCCGCTTGTATATCGTGGCTATCGAGGTTTCTCGAAGGTCCGCTTGTATTCCCACAAATTTTTTTTCTTTTCTCCGTCACCTAGCTGCTGCCTGTTCGCGTTCGTTTGTAGCGTTTCATGCCTTTTCGTAGCGTAGTGTATACGCCCATCGGCACCGGCTCTTTCCTGTGTCTTTTGCCGATAAGTGAGCTAGGTGCTACCAATTTTTATGAGCTTCATATTGGGGACAATTTTATTATAAGAAATTTAATAAATGATATTTAATAATTTATGATTAGGTAGGGACTCTCCCACACCCCTCCGGTAAAACCACTGCAAAGCCCCAAACGGCTCGTAGGATTCAGTCAGGATCGACCTGACATCATGCGAAATGTTTCCTGATGAAGATAATCTACGATGCAAGCCCTGTGTGGTCTTGCGTTGTCGTCCTGTAACAGAAAAGCATCAACAATTGCACCCGCATAAGGGCACACATAAACATCAAGGATGTCATCTCTGTAAATCTGAGCATTCACGGTTTCCCTTGGAAAGACATGGAGGTCTGTGCGTCCACCCAAAGAAATGCCACCCCAAACACAGACACTGCCCCTTCTGTAAGCATCTCTTTCACAGATGTTTGACAGATGATAACGGTTTCTAGTTTCTCTCCATATCAAATAACGCCTACTATCGCTTTCTAGACTAAACCTGGACTCATCCGTAAAGAGAACCGCCCTCCATTGATCAGGCGTCCAATGGACATATTGTTATGCCCACTGAAAACGGTCCTTCCTATGGCGTGATGTGAGCGGCACATAAATGGCTGGTCGCCTCGCATACAGACCACCTGCGTGAAGCCTTCTATGAACAGTTGACATTGACATGAACCTTCCGGTGGCTGCAGCAAGGGAGGATTTAAGAGTCTGAGTAGCGGTTCTATTCCTGCGTGCACATAATGTCAAATATCGGTCATCGGCGCTCGTTGTAGCAGTTGGCCGTCATTGGCTGAACCTCCTAGATGCCGAATCTGTGGTTTGAAATTGCCTCCAAAGTCTATGAACCACAGAAGGACTCACATTTTGCCATCTGGCCACTTCTGTTTGACTTTGTACTGCCTCTACACTCCCAATGGCTCTCTATCGCAGTTCTGCAGGCAAATGATGCCTGGAGGTCATTGTTACGAAAATGGCTTTCTCAGTTTTTTGATGTCACTGTCACAGTGAAATATGTGGGCTTGCTCTCAAACATGGACTTTTATGCTCCTCGTAGATGACGTATTCCGAAAGCAGCGCCACTCATTTGCATATTGGAGTTTTACTCAGCTACTCTTACTTGGCAACATATTCAAATTTTACACGGTTTGGCTTACTTTTGAGGGAGTTATCGCTATTTTTGTGATTTTACCTTAATTTATGATAATCAGTATATTTTATCCAAACCAATTTTCAGGTTCCACTTATTCTATATTAACAGTTTTAAACGAATCATTGCTAGGCATAGAATTCCACTGGGGGTCAAACATTCTCTGAACTGTTGAAAGAATGTATCTTTTAGTAATGGGTTTTTGCTTCAAATCAGTTTTTTTAAGATCACAAAAAAGAACACCTTTGTCCCATAATGATCAAGTAATAATACAGTTTTGTCCTGTAATAATCCAAGGAGAGGTATAGGATTTGCTTGGCGTTCTTCTCCTGTTAAATTAAAATGTTCCTAACCTCACAGATCGAAACAACCTGTAGCTAGAACCTGTTTCACTTCGTAAATGAGTTTCTAAAATTCTTGATTAGACAGTGAAATTACACAATTATCTACATAGAATTCCTCATCTTTTCTACAATTTCAGGATCAGCACTTCCATTTTTGTCTCAAATGAAAATCCAGAATGGCAGCTAGCAGGAAAAAGTATTTGTTGAGTCCAAACACATCAGTCCAAAATATTGGTGACAATAAATTTTTTGTTTTCTTTCCTTATAATCTTCTCACCATATGAATCTACGAAAGTAATTGTCTTCTTTGGCCACAGATATCTGTAAAAAGGCCTATCTTATATCTGAAATTACACCTGATGATCTGATGAAATCTTATAAGCAATGAAGGAATTTTTTCGATAAGATTTGGTCCTGTTTCTAGACTGTCATTGAAAGCGAAGGTGAATTCTTACTTCTACATGAAGCATCAGGTACAGGGCACATTTTTATAGCAGAATTCCTTTTAAAAATACCTCTGTGAGACAAATAACGAGAAGGGTTTTCCAAATTATTATCCAATACTTCTTTTATAATTTCCTGCAACCATTCCGTAAATACAGCATCATCATCATCGTATTTCCCTAAGCTTTTGAGTAATAGTTGCACACCACCTTTTTTTTAGTTAAAACAGTAATATAGCTTTAAAAAGATGTGTCATTTAAAGTGTCAGACTTCTCTAAGTATGGTAGTTTAATGATGTAACAGTGACTTTCATCTCTCTGAATGGTTTCCAGAAAATGTTGAAGAATAGAATGTTCTGTTTCTTCTTTAGTCTTTGTTTCAGTAGGATCCTTTATACCTAAAGTATTTAGTTTCTAACAAATCAGCCACCTAAGAACTTTTAATCAGTAAAGAGATCACTAAGACAAAGATTTGTCAAACTTGTCTTCGGACATGTTGCCCATGATAGCTCATCCTAAATAGGTTCCACATGCAACCAAACTGGACTTGAACGTCGTAGTGAAAATAATGTTTTACCCCCCTTTTTCTGAGCTGTAATTCCCCCAAACAGAGAATGAATTAAGATTTCTCTTCACACCTAGTTTCTTCACTGTTTCTTTAAGAACGTAAGAATGTTGTGAGCCAGTGTCAATAGATATTTGTATTACTCGTGGATATATAGATATTAGTATGACTTGTGGATATATAGATATTTGTATTACTCATGGCTCCTTCTTTTCAGTCTTCAATTTCACTTGTAACGTGTGAAGGAGTACTTCATCAGAAGTGCACAAGTTAAACGAATTAATGTCAGACAGTGAGTTATTCTCAGGTTCAAGTATGTCATCTTTTGTGATATTATCTGGGAGTTCTGGACACATCTCAGTTGAATATTTTTTCCTACAAAGAAACCATATGATATTGGATTTGCAAAATTTAGAACGATGTCCAGTTTTAAGATAAACAAAACAGGCTTTCTTGTTTTTTAAAAACTTCTTATTTTTCTTGAAAATTGAGTTTTCATGCAGAAAAGCAGTCTTTACTTTCAGGCATCTTGTCACAAAATATACAAAAATTTACCTTTTTATTCTCTATTACTTCTGAAAACAGATTTGCTGCCATTGATGGATTAACAGGAACAGTATGTTGCATTTTTTTCCTTCTCAAATTTGTGTTCTTTACTGATAAATCCTGACTTCTTCATAAGCATTTTCTTCAGAAGAATCCAAATTGTTATTAATTACAGAGTTTCTTAATCAAAATCTAAAAATGTCGTCTGGCATATAAGATTTTACAAGAAGAAAAAGTATAGCTGAATGAATATGTATCAGATGTTAAACCAATGGACTCTAGCATTTGTAGATATGATTCTAATGTCTCCTTTAATTTCAATGTGTCTAATTTCCATTTTCTACAAGGTTTAAAAGTTTGTGTATATCAAATTCAATTAGTAAATTATTCCTGCTGAATCTTGATTTTAAACATACAATAGCTTTATCATAATTTTCACATGTCAGTGGGTAACTATTGATAATCTCTTGAGCTTTATAGCCTTCAGACATACAGTGTATTAAATATTGAAACGTATTTTCTCTTCAAAAAGCAAGCCAGTCTTTAATTTCCATACCAAATTTCAAAAGTTTGATCTTTGGTAACTTTAACTTTTGTTTATGAACAGGTGAAGAATCGCCAAAACTTTTGGCTTTAAAAATTCTGTGTAAATAGATTTCTATGTTACTTCTGCCTGTATGAAATTTTCATTAAGTTCTAGTTTTGTGTACTCATTTTGATGTTTGGCATCTTCTAGTAATAAAGAGCTTATTTCATGATCTATTTAAGTTAGCTGAGAATAAACTGTACATAAATTTTAAAATATTAATAACAATGTATTTAGTACCAAAATTAGATAGCTGAGAATAAATTCTATATAAATTAGCAAACTTAGATCTAATGCTCTCTACCCGAGCATTATCTTCATTCAATAAGCCATTCAAACCAATAAAACATTTTGTAAAATTATCTGTTATAGATGAGGATGTTTAACAAACAATTCCATTTTTAGAATAATACTTAATTTAATAAATGTATTTTTAAAAACCACATCATTTTGGTCACAACGTCGTGAGATTTTATCTGAGTTTTATTCATTCACTCGGTTCTCCAGTAAAAAATGTAAAAAGAGAGCAGGTAATCCACCTAATTAATTAAAATAAAAGGTAATTCACTTTAATATGAAAACATGACAGATTACCACCTTTCTCTTTTTAATAATCTAAACATAAACAAAATGCAATGTTGCCAAACTGTGAAAAATAACTTTAAGGCAAATTGCATTTATACAACTGTCATGTTGCTTGCAATAATTTAAGTATCAAATTTCTGTCAACTCTGAGAGAAAATTCAAATTATACAGAATGCTAAAAATCATTTTGATTCATAGAAGTTTTCTATCTTTGCTATTTCTCTTAAACTTTAAAGACACATCATCATGTTAAACTTTTAACATCTTAATATGCAGTATAAACCAGATATGTAACAATGATTGAAGATTTACCATGTGAATGTTTTAGACTGGTTTAGCTAGTGATACATAATTCAGTAAGCAATATATTGTTATTAATATTTTAAAAATATATGTGCTGCAAGGTAATATGTATCTCATGATAAATTTTTATATATAAATAGTTTTACATGTCTCTCCAGTTTACAAATTTAATGCATTTGATTTATATTTTTCAGTGTTCATCGTCGGAACCAGATAGTCCTTTTATACAAAATAAAGCTGCACAAATAGTTTGTATGGTATTCCTCAATGACTTTCCAACCCGTTGGCCTTCATTTTTTGATGACTTGTTGGGCACTTTAAATTTAGGAATGACAGCTATAGACTTATACCTTCGCATTTTGCTTGCAATCAATTCTGATATTGCAGACAGAGAAATTCCTAGAACGCAGAAGGTAAATTTTAGAACTATAGAATGTGTATGAAATTTTTCATATAACATTTGTTTATTATCATTGCTGTGTTCTAATTATTAATGGAGAGTAACATTCTAAAAGTAACATCGTCTTGTAAGAAAAAATTTCAAGAATACTGAGTTTAGTATTTTGTTTGAAATGAAAGCAATCAGAAAAGAATCTGTACTGTTCTTTTAGATCACGTCATTTCTGTTTCTAAATAGAGATAAAAACTGATAAAAAGCTTCAAAATACATTAACAAGTATTTTTTTAAACAGAGTGTATAATTCATGTTATTTTAAATGTGATCAGAGATTTATAATAATGCACAGGAATTTAGTTTGTCAAATTTTTCACTGTTGTATAGCCCATTTTTAGCTGTTTCAGTACCTAATTTTTTAAATCATTTTTGGTTACTGTTTTGAATATTTTATATATTTTATACTTTGATACAATCAAAAGTCGTTAATCCGGACTCGTCCGGACTTCGGCGATTCTGGATTATCGATTTTTCCGGATTATAGATCATCAGTTTAAATCTGGTAAGATGGCATGTAGAAATTATAAATTAAAAATATGAAACCGTAATTTATGAAATAAGAACAATTATGATCTAAAGGGTATCAAAATTTACAAAAAAAAAAAAACTTGATATTTATTGTTTTTTACTTTATTAAACATTTCTTTCAATGTAAGTTGTTTAAGTTGCTTCGTTTTCTGTGATAATACTTTCTCTTTAATTCTATAAACAGACATAATTTCATGTTCAGTTACAAAGTTCCGCTGTTCAAGTCCCGTAATTGCTGTGCCGATAATACCGACTTACTTGTCAATCGAAATGTTTTCGTTTTCAATAACCTCTGGGTCACTTTCTTCAGTATTGGAAGCAAATTATAATGACAAGAAATTTGATTTAAATCATATCAAAGACGGAATACATCAAGATGAAATACTACACTTAGTAAGGAATTATAAGCCAAATAAAATAAAAACATCTGCCCTGAAGATAAGGATAGTGCTGACAGATCAACTTCCAATCCGCGGCGTGAAATTGATAAACAGATTTCGGAATGGTTAGATAAACAAAGGATATGCCTTTATCCATTTTTTGCAGCAATTTCACTTTTTGTTTAATGGATTTCGAAACATACTTTCGCTTTGTAGATACAAATTACATATTAGTAAATATATATTGGAAATTCTATTTGACATAATTGAAAGTTCAAGCTTACTTTTATGAAATTGCTGTAACAGTCTGCAAAAAATAATAAGCCGGATCCAATTCGAAGATTAAGGAACAACACAGTCTGCAACATTAACTGAATTAGATAATTTTAGCTCAGCTTATACCTCCGTTACACATTAAACGCGCATGCGCACAAACATATTCGCAGCCGTAAAGGTCTTGCGCTCTCTCGTAAACGCCTGTGCGCACGCATGAAAGCGACGCATGCGTAGAAAGTTTGTAGCTTTGAGGTCCGGATTATGGAAGTCCGAAATAACACCTTTTGACTGTACTGTAATCAAGGCTTGCATTAAGTACCATAAATCTAGGATTAATAGAACAAATTGATTATAAATTTTTTGTAGCATTCATTGTTTTAATTAAACTCTATTCGCAAGTTATTATTTTTCTTACTTTGGAACCTTATCCTTCTATTGTCTTTAGAGATCCTTATGAAATCAGATTCTTAGTTTTTTTTTCTTTTCCAGGTGTGTGATTATTTGAGTAAAAAAATTCCCGTGTAACCCACTGTATGAATTTTGTGTTTAAAATAGGAATATTACTTACAAAATAAAAGCTCATTGTTATAGAAGTTAATCACTGTCAAGTATTTAAAAGAAATGTCATTTTTTTTTTTAAATCATTCCGTTAATCATTCATTACAAAATCATAATCCTTTGGTAAACTGCCAATTATCCTTTCATCTTATGTGAAATAAATTAATTTAAATATTGCTCTTTTAGGAATTGGAATCCTTTACTTTCATAAAGGATACAATGCGTGAGACATGCATACCAAAATTAGTGGATTCTTGGCATCACATATTAGTAAGTATATAATGAAATTAATAGTTAGTTACTTCTATTCTTACTTAACTTTTACTGCAATAAATAAACTAATAGATTGAGGTTATCAGAAAAGATTAAATTAATAAAAATTGAAAGGATTGTCATACATTTTTTCATTGTTTTTATTTATAAGCTTTTAGTATGAAATTTAACTTGGAACTTTTAGATGGAAATGAGCTTAAATTTATTATTAAAATGAAATTGTTCAAAATAATTGAAAATTTCTTTTTCTAAAGCAGTAATGAAATTCAAAAACTGGAAGGGAGCTGATTTTGTTATGAGGAAACGGCTTTCTAAAGAAAGAACAGAAATTTCTACTACCCAAGGAAGAGAATGCACTTGCTGAATCTCTGCTGATTGCACTTTTTTTCATGCACATCTAGTAAAGATGCATCTAGTATTTCGCACCGAAAAAAAAAAAAAAGGATCACACTGGTTCTTACGTTTAAAAAATATCAAAATAAACTAATTATGAGCGATTGAAGTAAAAGTTTATAAAAATGCATTTCCTGGGCTGTGACCTTGACCTTGAGGCTAGTTTTATCGTACCACAAAAGTATGACCTTCAATAAGGTTGAAGCAAAAAGTAAACTGTCGCCCATTTTTATAAATGAAATCAGAAATTATTCAAGCATATTGACATAGACACGAACAGGGCATTTAAAAAATGCATCTGAAAATATTTGCTTATATTATGGTCTAAATTTGGGAAAAGCTGGATATTTACGCGAATGATTTTAACTGCCTCAGCTGTAAGTCTATTTCGAACAATGCATATCTGCCAAGTTTAGTGACTTTTTCATATTTTTATAAAAATTATTTTAGTTTTATTTTGTGCATGAAATTAATTTTTCATCAGTTTTTTCCCTAAAGGTGTAAAATATTTTGCCAATTTTAATGATTCATCACTAAATATATATATATAGTTTACATACTTTTGCTAGGTGTTAGGATTATCATTTGAATTTATTCATTTTTATTGCATTCAAAATATTTTTTTTTCATTTTGGAATATAAATTCTTTTGTTGTGTTTAGCTAAATTAGTTAACTTACCAACATTTGGGCAGTTTTAAAATGGCTTTGTCTATAGAATTTTTGATTCAGAAGTTTGCAAATTTTTATATTTCTTTTTCCCAAATATAAAAACATTATTAAGATACTATAAAATAAAATAATATATTAAATTATGTAATTAAAATTTTTATTTTTCCCAGTCATATTTAAAATATTTTTACCTTTAATTCTAGTGGCTTGTTAATGTCTTGACTTTGAAAAATAAAAAACTGATAAGTATTATGGGGCTCAGTTTCTAATTACTTTTTAGCAAAAAATTACTGTAATTATTTTTAAATTAGTTTGTCTTTTTTTTGCATTTTTATGTAAAAATTTTTGTTTATGTAATTTTTCCAAAGTAATCAGATATGTATCAGTTTTCTCCATAAAATTCCCCTTCTGCTCTAAATTTTTTCAAAAATATTTTTTCTCTTACAAAGTTGACTCTTAATGCAAGAGGATTGGTTGTCGAAACAGTTTTGCCCTTTAAAGACTTTTAAGCATGGAATGTTCCAGCAAAATTTGAAGGCAAGATTTATCAACACTTGAATAATGGTTAAAAGTGCTGAAAAAGCTGTGGAAAAATGAAAAATATTTTCTTTCAAAAATATATATTACCATGGAATAGAAGTATTTTTACAGGAAGATGGTATTTCTGTAATTGTTTGGATAATATCTAGAAAAAGAAGTAAAAACAATATTATTCGAATTTCCTTCTTTTGATCCCAGAATGTCTTTTTCCTTACACATTTCTCTTTTCTTTATTTTTCTCAATTATTTTCAAGACTTATAAGGAACATCGAAAAGTGAAAAAAATGGTTTTGATCTTATCACTTGGGCAGCCATCTGAAGAAAAGTTTGCTTAAAATTGGTAGTTAAAGAAAGGAGTGCACCATGTCATTTTAGAGTTATTTTCAGTATTGATGTTATTAAAGTAATAAAATTGACAGTGTCTGTTGCATTTTCTAAATACAAGCAATTTTTTTAATGAAACATTTTAAAAAAAGGTCTTTAATTAAATCTGAAAATTCGAAGATAAAAGAGAAAAACTGTTGAGGAAGAAACTTAGTATATAAACTGAAAGAAAATATGGATATTGTTGAAGACATTAACAAAATTAGTGGATAGAGCATAGACTAGTACAAACATTGATTTGTTTATTAGAGATAATTAATTTAGAAAAGTAGAAAATCCTGAGTTTGGGATTTTAATAGTGCTTTTTTAACCTGTTTCGGATGGGCACCTCTGTCACTGAAATACTCTCTTGGGATGGCGTGCTGACAAGATCTGTCTTGTTGAGACAGCAATTTTTGCTACTAAGCTGAACTTTTGAAAAAAGTTCTCATAAATTAAATTTTTGACCCAATTATTCCAATTTTGGCACATTATGAAAGGTAAACTCAGGTAGTTATCAGAATAAATTTGAAAACTTTATCATTATATTTGCCTTGCCATTTGAAGTATAAAAATATTTCGCTGAATGACTCACAAAATATTTGCCTCAAGGACTGAATAAAACTTCTAAAACAGTAGGACATATAACCCCATATTGCCCTCACCCCCCCCAAAAGGGTTCAAAAGCATCCAGAAATTCCCATGTGTTCATATCAGCTGATGCAGTAAATAAATAAACAGCTCTGTTTATTTATATTACTCACAAGACAAAATGCCAAATGTAAAAAATACTGCAAGGGAATGGAGGTCAACACTTTCAATTCTCCACTTTTGATAAATTTTATGATAACAGACATACAGGTTATATTTACAGACACTATGTTTAGTGGCAAAAAAAAGATACTAATTCAATGTTCTGTTAAAAAATTGGCCCACCAGTTCCCGAGCGGTAAAGTCGCTGAACACTAGTAGTTCGGTCCAAGGTTTAAATCCTGCAAACGGGCTGGTTGCATGGGCATTTTCGTGATTTTTCCCATGTGTAACGTGTATACGAGCCAGTTTCCCTTAAAAATGTCCTCCACGGAGGCATCCTCTCGTCTTAGGCAGATAGACCTCGAGTGTACTTTGCCATATTCTCAATACACCACACACACAGTCTAAAAATTTATGTATGGTACACCTATCCTGACAGTGAGTGTAAACAGCAATTCATGTGACACACCCAGCTCTGTGATAATGTGGGTGGCTGATGCATATATAACACACCTCTCCTAAAACGGTTAAAGAATATTTTTTAAAAATGAAGGAATTTTTAAGTAGTGACTACGTAAGTCTTCTGTTTAACATTTATGACTATTGAAGTGCAAAATATAAATGTTTTAAGAAATTATATTTCTAATTTAATATTAATTACTTGGTAACTGTTAGGGAGCTGATTTTATTCTGAGATTTATTTTATTAACTAATAAACTCTGTTTAATACTAATGCACTCTACATATACTACTGTTTATTCTAAGAATTCCATTCTTAGGTAGTCATATTGATTTTATAAATAATCATAATAATATAAAAGAAATTTAAGAAATTTTATGCGTGAAAAATTAGTTTCTAGTACTTCAGAATCCTTAAAATTCATTCTGGCTTCAGATTCTCTGAAATGCTGGAATTTATCATAGCAGCTGAAACAAAATTTTATAGCTCTAATATTATCAGGAATATGGAAAATGTTGAGTACTATAGTTGAAACTTTGTTACTTATTACAGTTGAGATAAGTTGCCATATGTTTTTTTTAATATGAAGAAACATTATAACAAATGCTACCCTGTACTTAAATCTCATTAATATTTTATAGAAATTAATTTTCTTATAATCTTTAGATTCTCCCCTCATTTGCTTCTGACTTTTTTACCCTCCAAATAATGAATCCTTTTAAATGAAATAACAGTTTGCATCAGATTTGTGTATTTTTTTTCTTTTTAAGGTTACATATCAAACTTTGAATACCACTATTGTTTGTAACTGTCTTGATGTAATTGGAGCTTATATTGCATGGATAGATATAAGCCTCATTGCAAATGATCGCTTTGTGGAAGTATTTATTAGTTTTCTGTCCATACCAATACTTCGTGAATCTACTTGTGATTGTATTAGTCAGATTATAAACAAAGGCATGGATCCAGTAGCAAAAGTGAAACTAACTGAATCTTATGCAGCAGTTTTGGAACAAGCTGGAGTTTTAAATTTTTCTGGGGTAAGCATTGTTTAATCTTTTTTTTTTTTTTTTTTAATCAATTATAGTAAATTTCTCTACAGATCTGTGTCTGATTATGTAGCATTTAGGGTAACAATTTTAGGTATTTTCCAGTAATTAAGTTTATGATCCTGTATTTTTTGTATGAGTGCTTATTTTTTGTATAGACTTATAGATCTTTTTGTTCTGAATCCAACAATGTTTAAATTGTGAAAACACATGAACTAAAACTGTAGATATGGATAAAAGCTCTAATTAGAGGACATGATGAGAAATCTCTGCCAAGTTGGCATCATTTGGCAATTTTGTGGAACATTATTGAAAACACATTCTCAAATGTCTAGGAGCAAATCTTAATAAACTTCCAGAAGTTCAGATAACACAATATAAATATGGCTGTTAGAGCCAGGACTAGTCAGTAATTAATAAACTTGGAGAGTTTGTGGTTCAAAGTGAGTTAGGTGAATTACATTTTAGAGTGTACTGTGTGAGTGATATCAGGAATTTATGATATTTCACCTGAAATTAAATAGGATTTACATATTATCTCCATTCTCCTTGAGTTATGCAGCTCTTTGTTTTACTTGTTTTATTACTTATTACAATAATGAGTTTCTTCATCTTATATGGAGAAATTCTATAACCTCTTGAGTGGCATAACTTTTATATAAAATATAATCGATAAAATTTTTATTGATTATATTTTCACTGTATTGCATTGCATTTTTTCAGATAGCAGTATTAATGCAGAATTTTAGAAGGCAAGGAAATTATGCAAAATGCACTGAAAGTATTTTTTTTTTTTTTTTTTTTTTTTTCGAACTAACATTTTGCTGTTGAGAGAAAATGAAAGGGAATTTATGAAACCGCATAGTTGTGAGTAGTGCAAATATCATCAGACAAGGGGCAGAGAAGGTCATTGGACAGTGATTATCCCCAAAACCTGAGGGGTAGGGAGGACAGAATTTCTTTGGCCGATATTTCAGTTTGAGCCATATTCTTAAAACACTGCAAGTCTGACTTATTTTTGTATAAAAATAATTTTAGTTATTAAATTATGTATAAATTATTCAGTGAAATTTTTAATTTAAAATTAATAATGCATTCACATGCCTAAATGTTTATTTTTATTTTTTGGATTGTTCTAGAGTGCTGATGATGAAGATTTTATTATTAAGCTGGCAAATTTAATAAATACTATGGGTACAGCTATTTTAACAAGTTGGACAAGGTACTTGTTTTAATGTATTTCAAAGTCATAGTCAAACATTGTGTTGGTATATTTAATCTTTAGTTTGTGCTTAATTAAAATAAGTTACATTTATATAAAGACATATAGCAGAATTTTGAGCTTCATGATCTCTAAAGCAACAGTCTATGGGGTACAAGAATGCTATCCAAATACATAATTTAAAACCAAGTTTGGGTTTCTTTTTGAAGAGAGTGAAAGAAGTGAATAATGATCCACCTGTAGTGTTTTTAAAGGACGTAAATGTACTATTAACAGTTTATCTCATTTCAAAATAGTTATTTGAAATAATTGTTTTTATAATCTCTCCAATAAAATACAAAATAATTAATGAATTTAAAAATGAAATAAGTTATCACATGCAATAACACAAAAAGATTTGCCCTTGTTACACTGTGTTGATGATATAGATTCAGTTTTCCAGTAATTTGCTCCCCCCCCTGAATAAATGTGTTAATTTTCTACTTCTATTACTGTTATAAACTAGAATTTAGTTTCAAAATCCATGCAAAGTAGATATGAAGATAGATCTCAGCTAGTACAAAAAATATGCATGTGTTTGTGGATATATATATATATATATATTTAGCAAAGATTATTGGATTCATACAAATAAGGCTAAATATATATGAAATGAAAGTGTTTAAGTCGATAACGATATCTATTTATTTAATTTAGAAGCCAAACAACAAACATTTATCTGTTTATTTGTTTAATTATATCTCAATAAAATTTTTAAATACTAGTATTTATACAGTATAAAGAATCAATAAAATAAATTCAGATTTTCTAACTGATATTTATCACCATAGAAGAAACTTTCGACTCCTAAATTTTAGTTTATTTTTATGGCATTTGCAATATGTTTAGACTTATATAGTAGATATGAAGGTGTTATTTCTGAAATTTCACATGAACTAAGTTATGCAGTTGATCGTTCAGTGGAATTAGAGCAAACTTTCTCCTTTTTTGAATTTATCCTTTTTGATAGATTATTGTTTGCTATATTCTATATATAAAGAAGATTGTCTATCTGTTTGAGTGTGTGGGGGATTCATAAAATTATACAGTTTTATTCCAATTGTGATAAAGTTTGTTGACCTTCTAAAGAAGAGGAAGGTTACTGTTTACCTAAGAATTAAAAAAGAAGAAAAACAAACAAAAAAAAAAAAAAAAAAAGACTATTCTACAAGGTCCGTACTCAGGGCATTTATATTAGAACATTGTACTCAACATCTTAGGATCACGTCGATATTGTTGCATTCCTGCTGTCACTGGAAGTTATACGTACCAAGCAAGGAATTTATACGTGTGTGTGTATTTTTACAAAAAACAAATATTTGTACATAGTTTCAGTTTTGAAATCACACTACTCATTGTAGCTTCACATCTCCATTTATGTATTCCCACTATCAATTCTGACTAAATCCATAGACAGCTCTGCATTTGAGAGCACTATGAAACCTTTAAAGCAGAATTTAAGTGTCCTGTCTAACAGTTTTTTGTCAATAATTTTATAATGGCAAAGAAATCAGCCAAAGTCGATGGTGATTGTCTAAAAAAATATGTATAACCAAATTCAACTCTTCAAAAAGCAAAATTCAAGTCTTCAAATAATAATCAACAGATAGATCTTAATTCATAGATACTAGAAATCAGTATGGATGAAGCATGAGCCCCTTTTGACAATTTTTCATAGGTATGCAAGACATTTTGGCACCGCTGTCAAAAGAGAATTTTAGATGTTCCCCACCCACCCCCATTATTAGAAGGATCATTAAGTTTATATAAGCTAGATATAAATTCACACCCATCACTGAAGAAAAGAGTTTTTTTTATTTCTCCAGTATGGTAAAGTCACTTGGCAACCTAAAGTGTTTTCAGATTTATTGGAAAATTGCAGCTCACATTGGAGAATGTGTGAAAGTTCAATTTTAGTGTCAAAAACTGTGTTAAATGTTAACAAGCATATTCAGGAATTACTTCTTGGCTATCCATTGATTCAGTAACGGATGCAGAATAAGTTTTACATTACCCAGTAGATTTTTATATACTTTTGAGCCCCCCTCCCAATATTACCATACAAGTTGAGAAAAGAAAAACAAAAAAAAAAAAAAAAAAAGGAGGAACGATCCCTTGTCATATTGTTATGAAACATCGAATTGCCGAAGCTGTGCAGTGGAACAAATCTTACCATGAAGAATCTATTGCCAAATGCAATAGAGGCCACTATCATCATGGGAATGCCTCAGGTTGAAGATGTGTTCATTTCTTAAATTGTATTAATATCCAATGCTTCAAATATGGCCTTTGATTTCAAGCAGCTGCTGTTTCCCATCCAGAAGCATTGCAGCATTTCCTATAAGTATCAACAAAATGTTGGGACAGTCACATTGTGTGGCAGGTATTAATTTGGAAACACATTATTTTATATGTAGCCAATTCAACATGGTTTTCTCAAGAACTAGCATGTGGAATAATTTGTTTGTTTGTCATATGGACAAGCAAAAAACATTGTGTACCTTCTAGCTTTACAATCAAAATATTGTTAGTTTCTGTTCAAATAAAATCTATAGTTTTATTCTAGCTTTGTAAAATTTTGCACCATTCACCTTTAATTAAAATAGAAAGGAAATCTATGAAAAACTACCCCTGTGTCCCTAAATAAAGCATTTTTCCTCTCACTGAGTACCTAAACTAGCAGGGGGAAAAAGACAGAAGAAAAGAAAAACATTGTTTTGTTACTTTGTTTTAATGATGTAGATTTAGCTTTGTAATTAAGTTTTCTTTTTTAAATTCAATTTTATGTTGTCTTTTTAAATAGTCTATTGTTTTTGCTGTTTATTATTGCTATGCATTGAAACTCAGTTTCAGAATCTATCTAAAATCACAGAAATTCAAGGCAAATCTTGTACCAAGGCAATGATGCATATGTGCATGAGTGTGCTCGTACATCGAGGAAGGATATTACAAGCATACGACTTAGTCTAGTTTAAAAAAAAATGTGTATGAAAAAAAATGTGTATTTTTCAGGCTTTCATGCTTTTAAGTATTCAGATTATTGATATAGCAATGCTTCATCTCTATTATTAAATAATGAAGAATCGGCGTGTTTGTATGTTGCTTGCTTTATGTAAAAACAGCAGCACCTACAGAAACTAAATTTGAACTTAAACATAGTCCTTCACTCAAACATATGCATATTGACTGTCAGTTTTTGAGTTTTCATTTATTTCGTATTTTGAGCTAATATGACTAAGATGTAGATGTAATGATATGAAAGTGAAACAAATTCAAAAATTAGTTTCTTCTGCCTATCTCTTCATTGTTTCTTCCAGTTATCTCTTCTGACCTGTTTTTCCCAGTGTTCTTTCAGCTGCAGAACAAAATTGCCAACCCTATATAAAATCCATATTTTTTTTATAAATTATTGTAATATAAGCTATATTCATGTATTGAGTTTGAATTTTTTCTTTTATTTCCCATTAACAACAGTCCCTGAGAAATGCACCAAAATAATGCGAAATGTCTGGTGATAGTTGTTTCTTCCCTCTTCTCTTAGGAGGTGATTCTAAGAGCACTTTCTGTGTATGACAAAACTAATATAAATTAAAATATATATTTCAAGAAAGAGTTCTTTGAGCCTTTTGTTGAAACAATTTTTTAATAATATACGAGCGCCTTGTTCTTCTGTTTGCTTGTTTATTTGTTCTAAGAAAAACTCAACTTCTGTGTTATGATCATAATTTGGTTAGGTCTCATCTTGTTAAGATTAAGTTTGCGTAATTGCATTACACATATATAACTTAAAACTGAAGCAGATGCTGGAAAGTACTATTTGTTTGCAATAATTTTTTGTTTGTTTTGTTTCTTTGTTTGGTATCAAACTGTTTAATATCAAGATAAAGGGATAAATTCCTGTTTTTAATTTTCTATTAAAAGCTGTTAATAAGTAAGTTATTATTGTTATTGCTAGATTATTTTTAAATTTAAATTAAAGATCACTGAAACACAAAGTGAGTAATGCAGGCAGTAACTTATGGCCCACTGGTATACTACATACAGTTATATACAGATTGTATATACAGCATATTATAGTATTGTATATATTGTAGTATACAGCTTGTGTACTACATACAGTGTTCTATATATACACATTGTCCCAATATAGAATACTCACCTAAAAATACATTTGAGTTTAACTACCTCTTTTCCTTTTTTAGAAAAATATTCCAAATTTTGAAATATTTAGCTTTGTGTAGTTTGCAATAAAATTTATAGAGTGGTGTTGCAAAATAAGCTGTTGAAAGGACACTATTGTGTCGAAAAGTTGATTATACCTATGTTGAAGGCTGGCAGAGGAAGTAAACAGATTTTAAACAGTATAATTAAGACCAAGTAATTAATGTTATTAAATATAATCCCATTACGTGCAAGTGAAAAAGTGCATTGTGATTTCTTTTGAGGATAAAAAGATCTGACTAGTGTGGAATTGTCCTCTGAATCTTTTTAAGTCTTATTATAATGGTTATATAAATTTTTAAAGAAGCATAATAATTTGCCTTTTTCCCCACATAAGGCATATTTTTGAAACAAATATTTTTTTTTTTAACTAATTGTATTTTTTTCATTTTAAACACCTTTAATTTTTACTTTATCATCTAATAATTACTAATAATTGTTTGCAAGTCATATAAAAATATAGAATGCAAAAGTGTCATTTGTCTGAAATACTTATTCACATAGTTTGTAAATATAATAAATTTCTTATTAATTATTTTGGTATTTGTATGTTTTTCTTGCAAACAGAGATACAGGAGTTACCAAAATAGGGAGTAACTTGCCAAAAATGTATGTTTTTTTGTTGCTGGTTTCTAAGGTTGTATTTTTAATTTATGTATTGATAGTTATTTTGAAAGAGCTACAGTTATTGCAAGACTAGGCAATAACTCTCCAAAAATACTGTCTTCCTGTTGCAGATGTGTTTTTAATCATTTGTGTTCTTTGAAGCATGTAACATTTGATTTTGTTTGATTTTCAGTTATAAGCTTTTTCATGCTTTTAATTTTTACTTTGTGGAGATTTACCAGAAACTGCAATTAAGTATATGAACTTTCTTCAGAATTCAGGATTATTGTTGAAGAAATGTAAATACTTAAATTTGCCTGCAGTGAAATTAGTATTGAAGAAAACGTTTCTGGCAGTACAGTGTTTGGAGTTGTAAAATGATTAAAATTAGAGTAGAAAATTGATTTGACTGAAGCTGACAAGAGAAGCTTTAAAGCTCAGTAGTTTGTCATTAACTGTCATAAATAAATAAATAAATAATCGGTCAAAATACTGAACCTCTGAAACTGTCGCCACTTTTGTATCCAAAGAATGGAAATGACTGTTAATCAAATCATCATCTAAGTTAAATTGGTGACTATTGCATTTTTGTGCCCCACCAGTGGCCAAGTGGTTAAGACCACTGAATACTCATAATATTCGCCCATTCAGTCAGCCCATTCGCCTGGGTTTGATCCCAGGCGAATGGGCTGACTGCATTGTTGCTTTTAATAGGTTTCCTTATGTGTAATGTGAATATGAGTTCTGAGTTTTCCCCAGAATGTCCTCCAGAAGGCATCTCTCTTCTTAGACAAATAACTCTTGTGAATTTGCATATTCGACTAACTTAATGTATTGCATCTCTACATGCCAGATAACAAGCAAGCATTGTCATTTTAAATGGATTCAGTAACGTTTTGAAGTTTTTTTGCTCTAATACATCCTTTGTCAGAAAAGTTCTAGGACTAAGGTCATAAAAAATTGCATTTATTAAGTAATGATCCTAGCTGCTATCAAAGTGCTCTCCTTGGCTATCTATGCACAACTGCCGACATTTCTGAAAGTCTTTGAAGCAAACAGGGAAATCTTAAACTGTGATGCTCGCAAGCTCATTTTTCTTAGCCCATTGGATGTCTGCAATAATCCTGATGAAGCTATCCTTTCAGTCGTCTTATCACTCACGGAAACAAGAAAAAATCACAATAATCTTTGACATAAATGTGGGATCTTGTCTGGTTCTATCCAGTAGTTCAGCAGAAATTCTTCGTCCTTCCTCTTTCTGTTCATCTGTAAGTGAGTGAGGGATGATTTTTGCATTAAGTTTCCATTTCCCTAAATATTTGCCTAAAATCTTATGACACACATCACGATTCAAATTCTGTTCTTCTGATATCATACACACAATCTTCTTGCAATAACTGCCTTACATGCTCCACATTTGTATCGGAATGGGCTATAGACATGCAACCAGCTCTGGGATCGTCTTGCACTGGATCTCTGCTTTCACGAAACTTTTTGTGCCACTTGAAAACACAACTTCTTGAAAGTGCCTCATCTGCATATGCTTGCTTAATCATGTTCCACGTTTCACTAGGGGTTTTTGTCGCAGTGTGTTTCACTAGGGGTTTTGAACAGTGAAGCAGAACTTCACTGTTCTGTTGAACTGTTCACTCTTTACTCACAGTCAGTATCTATTGTGTTACCTTAACGAATGTGACAATAATCCGAATAGTGTTTGCTAAGCACAGCTGTGCCACCATGTTTCCACACAAACATACTAGGTGGACACATACCAGGTAAGAATACATACCAGGTAACATAAAAACAGCATTTGTTCCTTTTTAATACAGCAAACTCAGAAATAAAAATAAAAATTGTTCTGGAATTTTTCTGTCAAAGGATATAATAGTTCATGAATTCTTAATATTTCAAAGTTTTTATTAGTCCAAAGGGGCTTTGTCCCTGAAGGACTGTTGTTTTGCGAATTTGCGTCGGAACCATATAAACGGCGTATCACTTTTCAAATCGTTTCCACCAATTACTGTCGCCCTGTATTATATTTGAAGACATTACATAATGAAGAATCTACATCAATGTATGTTTCACGTATTATGATAAACCAGTGGTACCTAGAGCCATCCAGTTTTGAATGACGTAATCTTACTGCGAATATGGGCATCTGAAGGCCCAAATTTTAAATTTGTAATATGTTTTATTATTGATTTCATATTTTGTAAAACATTAAAAAAAATTTATGAACAAACTCAATGATTTAAAGTGAGCAATGGCAACACTCTATTGGGGGGAAACCTTTTTATTTCCAACACGCGGAACTGTGTATCGGAAATTCTAAAGATATGCTCATTTTAAAATTATTTTGTGACATTGATTTTTATGGTTTAAGTGGAAAGAACATTATATTTAATAAGTAAAGGTAACACACAAGACGTTAAGAAAAGCCCCTTCGGACATAATTTAAAATCTGAAACCTTTCAGATTTTTATTTATTTATTATTTATTTATATTTTCAGAATAAGGTGATGTTTCTTTTCTCTTTTAGACTGCAAAAATCTAAAGATTCTGCAGGCATGACAGTAGCTGCTACTGCAATTCACAATAAAATAGAGTTGCTTTTAAAATTCTTGAATAATGAAGATGATGAAGTATCACAGGCGGTTATTGAATTTGCAAGAGAATATCTGCAGTTCCTTAAATACAAGGTTAATGCTGGAGTTTATGGAAATCCTGACTCTGCCAATGTTGAGGTTATTTTTTTTCCAGTTTTTTTAGAGAGTTTAATGTAATTATTTCTTACCATAATTTTTTAATAATCTTATTTTTAAATCTGTCGAAACGTGATATTATTCATCAAATTTTTTCTTTTTGAATGAATATTTAAAGAATATATATATTTGTTATATTTTAGGCCATTCTTTGCATTGTGATAAATAAATACAAGTATGATAAATCAGCTGAAATTGATAGTCAGGTAATAATTTTTAATTTTGTTTTACTATTTAATCATTATTTTGAATGTTTTAACCTCTCGAAGCCGGCTGGTACAGCAGTTGTACCAGGAGAATGACTTTCTCAGACGCCGGCATTGGTACAACTGTCGTACCATCCATGCCCTCCCCATTTTAGAGAATCGCCTATCTGTAGATCTTTGGGTGGTCCATTGTCGCTGCTCAGTGTAGCCGCTGGCTATGCATTATTTCCCTCTTCTTATCAGTTTGGCTACATTTTGGAAAAACCGCAGGTTTCGTCTCGCGCCAATATACTTGAAAATTAAATAGAGGCCATCTCTTTCTCAATCTGTCTCATAATTTTAATGCTAATTTTTTTAGTACTGACTTTTGCTATGATTAAAACGTCAGCGATTTTGCACGCTCTTTAAGCTTACCATATTTAATGTTTTTTAATCATAACAAATAAGAATAGATTAATATTTTAGATTTAATGCCCTTCTAGAAAGTAGGTAAAACCGCTTTTATCGTTTACTTCCTTTTCATACTTATGAATAATAAGATTTTATTTTGACATTTTTTGTGGAGTGCATTAAAACCCTTAAGAACTGTTAACTCTTTCAAAGTGCTTCTATTATGCAGGCAATTTTGTCTGATTTATCAGGAGATAAATAAGAGACAATTGTATGCGTAATAGATTTTTGTGATTTTCATTCATTCAGTGATTGCTTTCAATGATTTTCATTGATTGTAAATTAAATAAAATCAATTTATCTTTAGACCCTCTTTTAGGATGAGATCTGCCAAAAAGTATTTAAATATCAGTAAAGCTCACGTTACTTCTAAATTGAATCAAAACATCAGTTACATTTTATAAAATTTCGGCCAGTTTTATTTGCTGAAATTCTTATACTCCTCAAGAGATAAAGGGAATTCAGACAAGTTGATAAAAAATATCTTTAAAAATGTTATTTTGTCTGTAATAAGGTGTATGTCAACTTACTATTAAATGTATGAAAATTAGGATTGGATTACGGAAAAGCACGCAAACGCTATCTGCTTAAGGGGATGGATGCTTTCGTGTAAACCTTTTTAAGAGAAAATTGCTCGCATTTACGTTCCTGGTGGAAAACTCCACATGTAATCAACCGTTCTTCGGTATTGATTGGATTAATTTTGTTCGCTTACTGAATTACGTCAAAGCACACAACAATTACCTGTATAAGGGAAGTTATGCCTTCGCGGAGGACTTTCTAAGAGAAGCTGGCTTGCATTTACGTTACGCAAAAACCGTGAATCCAACTATTTATCCGGGATTCAAACCCAAGCGAGCTACAAGTGTTTAGCCACCTTTACCGCTCTACTGAAGAGCCCGTAAAAATATTGATAAAGGAAAAGTATTGAAATAACCAGTTTAATTTACTAACCTATATTTCTCAATCGACAGTACATAAATTACGCATATGAGGGGGATTATTTGTGAATAAATAAACTGTATTGCACTTTTCTCCACTATTTCATATTACGATGGAATTATTGCAATTCAAAGTTATTTCTCATGAATTAATTTTGCTCTTCATGATTTTTTTGATATTTTCAAAGAGAAAAATTTCCACACTTTAAATAAAAAATACACGAGAAGATACTTTATGCAAAATTTGGCGTAAACAGTTTTTCTTAATTTTGCTTTGAAAATATTCCAGGGTAATCGTTTCATTGCTGGAAGAAATATGAAAAACAGATTTACTACATGTAAGTGTCAACACCCAATATTTCCTTATTCTTTTGAAAACGTGAAAGATTACTCTTTCTAAAATAAATTAGAAAATATATTATGTGCAAATAGACTATTTGTTGAAAAAATGAAATAGACTTCAACTTTTGGATATAACAATGGTTTTAGACGAAATTTCTACCTATGAAAAGAAATTGACGTATAATAAATTCTTCATGAACATTTAAAAGTGTTCTCAAAATTCTTTTGATGATTGCATGTATAAGTCACGGATTTTTTTTCTCTGCTAACATAAACAAAAGTCAATTTTACAAAGAAAAATTTTCGTTAAAGATATACCTTCTTTGCCTGATAGTCCAATGTAATATTTGTTAAAGTTAAATGATTAAACGCAACCAATGTATCTCGGATTTTTATTTTTATATTATAATAACAAAATTATCGAAAAAAGCAGATTTAAATCTCTGTTATTGTTATGTAAAGCTTTATTATTGCTGTAAGTTCATCTCAAAATCTAATTGTATTGAATCTCATTCTAATCATCTAATGGTAATAAATATTATTATTTCATTAAATTAGTCATTACCATTATTTTATTAATGAAAATATGTTATTAAAAATCGCATTCCAACCAATTTAACAAAATATAGTAATACGGACAAATCTAGTCCGTATTTACTATATTTTGTTAAATTTTGTTCTCGCTTTCTAATTTCTAATACGAAAATACGTGAATATAAATGAAGAGTGAAAACAAAGTTAAAAAATTCACAAATTATTTACGAGATTGATTAGAAATAGTGAGTGAAATATAAACATTGTGTACATTTTTTGTTCTAAATAAAGTGTGCACTGGATATGCATCCAGTACTGCATATTTATTTATGCACTATTTATTTAGAATTTTGCTTCATTTAAATGAAAGCAAAATAATCATCGAAAAAATTGCAAATCTAGCAACCCCTCTACTATGGGATGTAAGCGTCCGACAAACATGCAAATTTTACTTCATCCATGGAGGGGAACTAACGACTTTTCTCATTAGGAAATGTCAAAGAGGGGGCAAAACTGTTTCGGATCGCGCCGGTCTGAAGGCTATATTATGAGAATTTCGGCCCGGTTTTAGAAGGTTAATAAATATTCTGAAAATTGTTAGTGCAGAAATTTCATTTTAAACATGGAGGGATGTGGCATTTCTCATCTTTTATTTAATTAAATTCTTTAGGGAAACTCAAATTATAAAATTTTTGCAAAAGATATGCAGATGAATTTGTGAGAAAACAGAAGAGAGTATATTAGGTGCTTCCGTTACTATTATTGATATTAAACATATTTTATGTATATCATGTTAGAGATTTGGATAATATGTTTTGTTTTATATTTGTTAGAGATTTGGATACGTTATGAGGTATTGAATTCTCCATTCTGTTATTTGAATCTTTATATAATGTACAAATACTTGTAGAAGTATTATTTTGTTAATGTTCTGTTAAATGGTCCTCATGTAGACAACTATTTTATGGGAGCTCAATCTGAGTATACAACCTGGTTTTTGTTTGTAATTTTGTAATTTACTAAATGACATCTGTAGTTAGCAAAAAATGCTGCTTAGAAATGATGGTGAAAAGAGTGCTTCTTATCCAGAATCTGTTTACTAAAACTTTCAAATAATTTAAGTATCAGTTTCAGTTTTAGTTCTTTATGTATTATTTTACATTTCTAAATAAAAATTACAGGTATGTTTTCCTCCTTATTAAGAAATTTGTAGAATCCTAATTATCTAAGTTTCCACTTTATGTAACATAACTGCAAAAAATTCACAATAGAACTTATTATTATAGCCATAAGTAATATTGGCAAATAAAACATATTATACACCAGACTTTTAGTACAATTCTATTCTGTTGTATTATTTTTATGCTCTCCATTATGCGTGGTCTTTGTTTTCAAATTATATAATTTTACTATGGTATGAATGGAAAGGTTGTGTTATGGCTTAAACAATACATCAGTCATCATAATCATAAATGTTATAACAGCGTTCATCAGGCGAATAGGTAATTTTATTTTTAGGCCATAACTAGTCAAGGAAGAAAAATGCTTACTTGATCCCACCTATACTTTTGGTGAATTCAGAAAAGCCTAGAGAATGTACTTAATCAGCAATTTCCAAATTTTCATTCTAAATTCCAGTTTAAGTTTTTATTTATCAGTGGCTGTTTGAAATGAAAGAAATGTGTCGTTACTACAGCAAACATTAGAAAGTTAAAACCCAATAAAAGAAAATATAAAAAAAACTTCACATTTCTCTGTCAAATGTGTCTCTTAAGCCTAGCATAAATGCCAAATCTCATAATTGATAGGTGTTACTTCTTTCTTATTTCAATGGCTTGAAAAATTGGTACTTTTAACCATATTTGACATAGTAGCAAGGTCTGGTTGTCCGCAGTTAATTTTCACTTTTACCACTTGCGATAGCTAGCCAGTTTGTAGAGTGTTGCAGTTTGATGTTGTCATAAGATCTTTTGTCCTTCAAATTATTAGTGTTATATCTGATGTAATTTAAAACACATTTAATTTAATATGTGCAATTAATAACTTCTACAACTTCACCAGCGGTCAAATGTTAGAATACTGGTAGTTTGACTGAGAGTATGAATGGCCTGGCTATTAGGGTATGTTTCTTGGTTCGTTTTGCTTATAATTTGAATATAATTCAGTTTCTCTAGGAAAAAAAATGAAATTTTGAACTGGTCCCAATAAAGTCTGTGTGCCTCACTTGCATTCCCATCCGCCGCACTGTACACGAAGTGCATATTGGCCATTTCGCGGTTCATATAACCAGCCATTCTTTCGGCAATCCACAGTGCTGAGGGCAACTGACCCTTTTATATCGTTTACAATGCCACCTAGCGGCTCACTGTTTGCATTCTATGACGAATATTGCTTGTATTATCTTCTATCACCCCCAAATGTTTTGCCCACTTGTTCAGATTCACGCTGTATTTGCATAACAGCAATCAAAGAATAATCAATCAGCCCTATCAAAATCGTAAAAACAACCTTGTATTTAGCGTAAGTATATAGAAACACTCAATCGATTTCGAGGGCAGCTAAAGGTCCCTCCTCATCAGGAGAAAGAAATACATAGAAAGAAGAAAATAAAGGGGAAGAAGACTCAGAAACACATGGCCCTTATCAGCACTGCACGTGGTTATAACCGGATTTTTAATCAGAGTTACACTGGCCGCCTACTTTTACTGAGCCAGGCTATCTGATCAAACATGTAACACAAAGGAAAAGAAAAATTAGCGAAGTTAAAATTAAGGAGCGAGGGGCAACTGCTCCTTCACGCTCAAAATCTGAACTTCGAAGAATGGAAAGCAACCACTGAACGGATTTTTATACCCTCTGGTAGTACCAAACGCGAGGAGGTAACGCCATCTATCGGGGGGAAAAAAAAAACTGAATTAAGATAGTAGAATTTTAAAGGCATTGGAAGGACTGGATTGGACTTCAAATCATTAACTAAACCTGCTAAATCTTTTTGAATATGAAAAGCCTTAAGAAAATCCAATTCACCTATGGAAGAAGCCTTTTGGATAATTTTTGCAGACCCAAAGCAGACCAAAGACAGAAACGCAATCTTTTAGAAAAGAAGGGTGAATTTTATTAATAGGGGAGAAACCGACTTGAAAATTGAATTTCTGGAGAATCTGTGCAACTTTATAGCTAACAGAAAGATAAAATGGAAGCACGACAAGCTCATTAATATTATTTCTAAAAGTGGAATGTCTTCTTTGAGGGGAATCTGAAAATTTTTTAACGGCTTTATCAATAATCACGGGAGAAAATCCACGGTCAATCGCAACTGCTCTCAAATAATTCAGTTCATCAGTAAGCAAAGATTCGGAGAAACAAACTTTAAGCGTGCGGAATACATAATAGTAAAAAGAAGCCACTTTTTGCTTAACAGGGTGGCATGACTTGGCATGGGATGGTAAACAAACTGCAAAGGGTTTACGGTACACAGTTTTATGTTTACAAATAATTTGATTCTTCAATACTTAATTCTAAATGTTTAATGATACTGAAACTTAACAGTTATTATAAAAGTGGCATAATGCTCTCTGCAATGTTTTCAGAACTTGTATTTTGTTGATGTCGTTTTATAAGTATATATACAGTTTCTTATAATTTTTCTCTTTTCAGAGTCATGAAGAAGCTATGTTTCAAGAATATAGAAAGTCTTTAAAAGTTCTGTTTGATAATTTGTCAATGTTGGTAATTACACATTATGCTATAAAAATTGTGTTAAAATTCTGCACAAATATGAAATGATTATTTATATTCCTATTTAAATGTATTGAATTCTGCATTTAAAAATGTGCATTTCCATTTTAATCCTTTTAACTTATTCAACAAAGCATAGCATTTTAAACATAAAATTAGGCCAGCTCATTTAGATGTCTGAAATGACATCAGTATTATAAGTGTATAAAGATTTATCATAAATGCTGGGAATAATAATTATGGCTAATAAACAAACTTTAAAGTCATTTTTTTTTCTAATTTTTCTCTTTTTTTCAGTATATTACACTACTTATTTAAATCTCAGTATGTAATATCAAATTATTGCATTTTTAAATTTATAATTATTGAAAAATTATCTTCTGATAATTTGTTTTATGAAGTTCTGTGTTATGCATATTCAGTATTTATTACAGGATTTGAACCTTGTTTTTTCACGAACTAAAGCAATGATTACAAGTACATTAAGCCAGTGGAGAACCTTACCTTTTGAAGATGTTGAAGTTGCAATAACTTTTCTGTATCTTCTTGGGGAAGCAGCCCCTGTGCAAGTAAGTAAGAATTTTAAGTCCTTTTATGGTTTTAAAATGCTGTTTTTTATTTACTGAGAAAGATAGGCATCAATTTGTTGTAATTACAGTTTTAATTGTATGAAATTTTTATAGTAAATATTATATATTTGTAGAGTTTTGAGGCATTTTGTAACATTCTTGTAATATGTATTTATAATATTTTATGATAATAAAATTTCAGAAGCTTTATATTTAATTTATTTTGTAAAACTATTAAACTAAACAATACAAAGTTTAAAATTCTTCTGAATCTGGAATTGGTGGATAAGCAAACTGGCTGTTGCAATAATTGAAAAATTGTTAAATACAGAGTGTTTCATGAACGACTCCTAACTTTTAAAATAAATAACTCTGATACGATGATAGATAGAAGCATGAAACAAGTGGTATGCTTATATATATATATATATATATAAAGCATATGATACAGAAACCTAACAAATTTTGCCGATAGATGACACTGTGGGTGACATAAGTAGCGCGTGCATAATGGCTAATGCAAACTCTAGTTGCACTTAAATCAAAAGTGATTCAAAATGTGAACCTTTCACACATTTCGCAAACGAAGAATGAAATTCTCAGTCACTCTTTATTGTATCACCGGAAATTGGCACGCAAGCTTGAGACAAATAGCCTCCACCAGCTCGTCGAGTGTCCTTCAGTATACCCTATTGAAAATAGTTACAGGGAGTGGGGTCAGGTGAATAAGAAGGGCAGTCAATTCCTTTCCCCTTAACTGTTGAATAGTTCAACGCAATAACTCTGTTATTGAAGTATTCGTCCAGAAAGTCAAAAATATGCTGTGTATGGTGTGGGCGAGCCCCATCTTGCATGAATCATGCCGTGTCTTGTTGAGTTGTGACAAATTGTTTCAAAAGCACAATATATCACTCACTCGCCACAGTTTCTTGCAAGGAAAAGGACCTAATGATGCCTTTGCAGGAGAGTGAAGTCCAAACAATAAGTTTGGGACAGCGGAATGGTTGCATGCAAGACAAATGTGGGTTTTCGGCACTCCAAAATCACAGATTGTGTCTGTTAACGACACCATCCAGATGAAAATGAGCCTCGTCTGTAGTCCATATTGGGCTGACATCGAAACCAGAAACATCAATCATGTCAAGCATTTTTATAGCAAAATCCTCTCTTTGTCATTCAGCTTGAACTGGTATAGCGTGCCAACATTGAATCTTGTACAGAAATGTGTGTAATGTCTTCCGCAAGAATCTGTAAGTGCTGAATGGCATGATTCCGGATTCAGCTGCAAGTCTGTGGACAAATTTATTTGGATGTCATTCAATAACTGCAGCAAGTCTCATTGCATTTTCAGGCGTAACGACAGAGTGGATGGGACTTACATTTTCGACTAACACATCAACAACATTGCCTGTCTTTTGAAATTGTTTGAATGGCTCACGAATTGTATTCCCATTTGGACCTTTTGCAACTTGAAATCGCATTTGAAAACTTTTTCTTGTGGCAGTAGGGCTGTGATTAGAAATATTGTTTCTTAGAAGTCTGTTATATTGCAATAATTGAAGTCCATTTTAATCTGATGTAATTAATTACATTACATTACAAAAGAGCATTATATAGAGCATCTGCTCTACAGTTTTATGAAAAATGCATTATTGTGACTGTATTTGAAAGAGAGGATTAAAACAGAGCTTTCTTACTGAATATTGATTAAAAACATTAAAGAATTAAGTAAACTATAATGATTTCATTTATTACATAATTATAGTAAAGGACTGCCTCTCTATGGATGGATCGGGAGAAAACTGTATCCAGTTCTTTTTTTTTTTTTTTAATCCAGAATCTTCAGAAATTGAGTGTAGTATACTTTTTCTCCTGACTTTAGAATTAGATTTAATAGCACAGCCAATTATTAAAATAATAGGAAATTAAGGTCCTTTTAATAATTGCTTAGCACAGGGTGTCAACAATGCACAGTAATGGTAAGCTTGAAGACTGACTAGTATTGCAGGCATCTTATAAAAAGGAAATTCGAGTTTGCAGGTTATGAGGTGCACCTGTCAGTTCCTAAATTTAGCAACTAAAAATGGGGCAGCTTTTTTACCAGTAAGTGTGAATGAACATATTGTTGATATTTACTATTATCTTCAAAAGAATTCTAAAAGAAAGAGAAAGTTGAAACAAATCCAAAATACTGAAATAAGAAAAATTTTGAAACATATAATGTGCACACTGGTTATCTTTAGAGAAATGTTTATCTAGAATCCTCAACCAATGGAACATATTTCTTATATATTTTAAAGAAAAAATAAATGCTTATAGAGTTAAGGTAATCAAAGTTATAAAATGTCTAAGTAAATGAAGATTTAGTAACTATTTCCATTATCAAAAATATGTGAGAAAAATAACTTCTGCACCTGTGAGTGATATAATTGGCAGTTCTCAAAAGGATACTACAAAGTAGAAGTGTAATGCTGATATAAAGTTCCCTCCAACCCCCCCCCCTAAAAATGCACAACAATGGAAACATTTTCCAATTACTGTAAATTTATCTTTTGAAGAGTGAATATTTATTTTTTTGTCTTCGGACGTTAACAAAGCTTTTTGCTTTCTGTACTCTCCATTTTGCTATCATATTATTTTCTTAACTTAATTCTACAGTGCAGAATTCCATTAATTCATGCTTTGCATTAGTGATCTATTTAAAGACATTTTATCAAAGCTTGAAAACTGTTTCGTCTTATAATTCTATATATCAAGTTATTTATGGTAGAATAGAATATCTGAAGAAAAATAAAATTCGGTAATAGAGTTGCAACTAACAAGATAGTGAAAAAACTGACAAAAGTAAGTTTTATTTTCATGTTAGAAGCTATTGCTGCATGTGTGATTACATATTATATAAATTTCCAATCAACGAGGAAGTGATTTTCCATGCTAAAGTTGCAGATATTTTTTCTTTTGTAAATGCATCTTTTCTGATATAAGATACCATTTTAGTAGATTTCCAGTTTTAATTCATATAGTTTTGAAAGTTTAGAAATAAAATTTAATGCTGTAACTGAAAAATTGCAGTTGCAATTTTATGGTTTGTAATTAGAAAACTTGATAAAGTTATAAAATCAGCAAGGTTTAATTAGAAAGTAGAGTTTAATTACAAAACTCTAAGGTATGGTATTAAAGTATGATTGTCTAGAATAATATTTGCCGTTCTGACAATTCTCCATGGCAATGCTGAGTGCAAGAGTATTATTGGTGTTCTGACTGCAACAAAGACTAAATTTAGATCCAATATTAGTAATGACAAACTAGAAGAACTTTTATTGGCAATAGCAGGTCTACATGGCAATTGCTATGAACAAAATTACGAAATTTCTTTCTAAATGAAAGCAAAATTGCCACTGTTCTTAGCATTTGTATGAAAACTGATTAAAATATTATTTTTCTATTAATATATACAAATAATAGTGGTTTTTTTTTTAAACATTTCAATATTTTTGTCCTATTTGAATCTAAGATTTAGTAAACTAAACTTCCAGATATTAATTAGTTACTATTTAAAATTAATTCATTATTTAAAATTATATTTTCTTTCTATATAAGATAGAAAGCATTTTTTTTTTTTCATTTAAAAAATCTTTTTGTTGCTGAAAAAATTCTCCTGATTTTTGAAAAATCATAGGTTGGCAAGTATGCAAGTCCTTCAGATATGTTTTAATGTTTTTTACTTTTTAGGGTGTTCAAATATAATTTAATATAGGCAGCACAAGCTAAATACACTAATGCATTAAATCTGAAGGCAAATAAAACAGTTTTATCTGCATTTAATGGCTGAAATTAAAGTGTAATTTAAAAAGGAATGGAGCACGTATTAGTTACTGTTTTTCCTTGGGAATGAGTTTCTAAGTTTGGATCTATTCTCATAAAAGCTAAATTTAACTGAAAATTCATCTTATCTTACACAGGCTGTTTGTAATAGATAATTCATTCTGGATACTGTTGCTTGAAACTGGGTGGTCTTTCATTTAAGGATTTTCATGGTTTCTCCATAATGTGACTATAATGGTTTCCATTAGGAAAATCCTATTTAAAGTCACCCTTTTCTCTAAGATTGATAACTCTTGAGTGCTTGTAGTATGTAACAATAATAGAGTAATAATGTTAAACATCAGTATTTAGAAGAGAGAAATTTGTAAATTTCTGACATGCATACCTCATGTGAAAAATACTAATCTTATTTTTAGTTACATATTAACGAATTCATTTGTTTGCTGTTTTGAATTCATCAGGCTTTTATTTTAGAAATCTGTCTTTCTTCTTTTACTTCTTTCATATATATATAAGCTTGTTTTTCTCTCTCTTCAGAGTTGCCAAAGTAACTCTGTAGACAGAAAAGCAGAAATGAATGAGATGCTTCACCTGGTAAGTTTTGCTTAATTTCAATGGAATATTATATATAATAACTGTATGTAAAATTGTATTGCAATTTTGTTTTCAAATTTTATTTTTAGTTGGTTACATCAAAAGTCAGTAGGCAAGGTCATGTTTTAGTTACCCTGCAATTTTTCGAGACAGTGGTTCGTTTTGAAAAGTTTTTTGCCCAAGAACCACAACATATACCTGAAATTCTGGTGAGTTTAAATATTTTTAATCATTATTTGCATTTTCAAATATATAATTAAATGCATGTACATGTGCATAATTTTGTTCACTGAAAAGATTTTCTTTTATATGCAGACTGCTTTTTTGGATGACAGAGGTTTAAGGAATCCTGATCCTCATGTCAGAAGCAGAGCGTCATACTTATTTTCAAGATTTGTGAAATGTTTGAAGTAAACATCTTTTTTAGTTTTTTTAATCATAAATTTGTTTCTGAATTTTGCATCAGATAATTTTCTGTTCATGCGTTTGCCCATAGACTGTTAAGAATTTCACAGAGAAATTTTATTTCTTTCACTGGGATATATATATATAAAGCAAGTGTTTCTCTAATAAGATTTTAAATGCCATGTACATATTGGTTAGTCTTGAATAACTTGAAATTTTAGCCTTAGAGAAATATTGTAAAATTTTACAGGAATCTGATATAAAGCTGGGGAGGGTAGAAAAAGGTATTTGCTGCTATCTGAAATATTCTAATAATTGGCTCATGAATGTTTTTGATTTAGCTATAAAATGTATTAGTTTCATGATTATGCAGAGAAATACCTTTATGCACTAAATCATTATATTCTGGAAGCAAACGACTTCTAATTCCTAATACTTTTCAGTTATGAAATAAATCTTGTTTCCAACAACTACAGGTGAAAATATCTTCAAGGAAGCAAAAAACATTACTGCAATGCAATTTGCATCAGAATCATTTAAAGTGTGCCACAACTGGTGGGGGGGGGAATTATGTGTGGAACGGGGAAAGGATTCTTTGGACAAATTTTGAGGCTTATGAAGATGCTAAATGTTTAAAACCTCTGGCAATTAATCATAATGTTCACCAGCAGGCTGTTTGTGTGCAGCACCTCAATCTGTCATTAGTTTATTGAACCGGTTGTATTAGTAGTAAACTTCATTCACTCTCGTGGTTTATTTGAGAACGAAGCTGAATATTCTGACTTGCTTAATCATACAGTGATACAATGGCTCAACAATAAGAAAGTTTTGTTGAGATTCATTGAACTGAGAGAAGCCATATATTTTTTTTTAAATAAGTAAAATTACCTGCCGCCTTTATTAGCAAACAGTGAATGGCTCTGGAAATTGGTATTTGCCATAGACATCTTGGAATATTTCAACAAATTCAGTTTAAAATTACAGGGAAAAGCAGTACTTACCTGTAAAATGCATTCTCTCATAAAGACATATCACCAAAAATTTGCCTTGTTTGAAATGCGAATAACATTAAATCATTTTCCATGCTATAAAAAAATTTGAAATATTAGTGAAATCTCTATTCCCAAATTAATTCGTGCAAGGTATAATTTCTGAACTTTATTTTTTTTTTTTTTTTTTTTTTTTTTTTTTTTTTTAATCTTGATGAAAGTGCAGATGTTTCCAAAAAATTTTCAAAATTCATTAGGGTGCATAACTGAGGAACTTCCATCAAACCTTCAGTTGGGAGTGATTGATTTGCAAAATGATGATATGTTGAAAACGATGTTTAAAAAAAAAAGGAGTTAATTCAGTTTTATAAGTATCTTTAAGAAGATAAATATGCTCAATTAAAATCACATGCACAGGGATGGATATCCATATTTTGGAGTACTTATCAATGCAAAAAAACGTTTTTGAAAATAAAGTATGTAAAATCACTATTCAGATCATTATTGACAGATAACCATTTGCAAAGAATTTTAATGATAGTCTAATTTTGAACTCTAGTCTGATGAAATATTACATCATAAAAAAAAAAGATTATATTCTTTACATTAGATATGAAAATCTTTTAATTCCGTCCCTTTTTCTTGGTTAATAAATTTTATGTGAAAGTATCACTTAGCAATATAAAAATTTTATTTTTTTCTGTATGAGAAAATTACTCATTTATATCTTCATATTTGCTACCTGGCCCACTAACTGAAGCTAAAATTTTATTATCTGGCCCCTTCTAAAAGAAGTTTGTTGACCCTTTACATAATCCATTGAATGCGTTATTTATTTTTCTTTCATTAGTGATTGCTTATTGTAATTCATATGGTAACCACTTAAATGAAAAGAAATTGTCAAAAAAATGTATCTCTAGAAATTGAAAGGCATTATGCGTTTATCATATTGGAATTGTGCAAAAATTCCTATATATATTTTTCTGTTAAAATTCCTGTTGGTTTAAATTTGAAATCAATTTAGTCTTTATTTCCTAATAGCAATTTTTCTGAATTTTAAAATTGAAATATTAATTTTGATTAAACCAGTTGCAGAAAAATTGATTTGAAAAGGTTTTTTTTTTTTTTTTTTTTTTTTTTTTTTTGTGTTGTTGAAGTGCATAATACTACTTCCAAACTTTTTCAGAGCACATATGCCAAATTATACTGAAGGAATATTGAAGGAACTTCAAGATTTATTGATTTTAGCACCACCAGACAATGGATACATTTCATCTCACTTGTCTCCTGATGACCAGCTCTATTTGTATGAAACTGCAGCTATACTTATTGTTTCAGGAAATTTTAAACCAGAAGTATGTCTTTTATAAGGTTTTTCAGTTTTTTTTAATAAAAAGCTTCAGTTTTAAAATTATTATATCATTTTTTGTATTGATGAATGACATTTTAAAATATGTTTGTGAATTAAAAAAAAATTAATGCACAAACTGTATATATAAGTATTTTTATTTTTCCTTTCAGTGTAAGCAAGTCCTTCTCAAAAATTTATTATCACCAGTTGCTGAAAAATTCGAAATGCTTTTACAGAAATTGCAAATTATCAATGATGAACATCAAAAGCATGAAGTAGCTAAGTGTATGAATTATGCTATAGCAGTGACAAGGTAAATTATCATGTGTATCTTTCTCATATTTTGTTTAATATTGTTATCTGCCATTGTAATTTTTATGGTTTATGTCATCTTAATTTATAGTTTTGTAATTAAAATGATTTTGCATTTTAAAAAAGCCATTAGCAGTCAGAGTAGTGCCCATATGTCCATAAATAATACATTCCAAAACCACAGGTATGAGATAATGTTATATAAAACAAGACATTTATGTAACTTAGATAATTATGGTTTAGTGTGTAAATTTGAGTAATATATTACCAAAATTAAATAAAAATAAAGATGCCATATTCTGTAGTATGATGCTGAATAAAACAGTCCAAAATGTATTGCAGTTTTCACAAAACTTGGTACTTTGGTGTAAAGTTCGAATAGAGAAAAATATTCACATATTTCAGAAAATGTCTAACTATCTGACAAAATATGTTAGCATAATACTGTATATGCTTAACATATAGACTAAGTGATCCTTTCGAGATATGAAAAGTGCAAGATGAATTTTATCAGACAGTCAATTAGAATTGGAAATATAATATGGTTGAACCCCACTGGAACTAACCTCAAGGGACAGAGTGTTTGGTTCACTGTATCCATTCAAATAATAAAAATAGATAATCTCACAAAAATATGTAAAAACTGAAGGATGGATAAAGGGAAAATAAAGACTGATTAACAGTGGCACATCTACCTAAAGAAATAAATGAAATAATCTAATTAAAGTCATCATATTAGGATTTAAGTGTTTATTATTATTTCCCTCAATTATTAAATTTCTCTCACCCACCCCCAGTCACTCCAAAGTGTCTGGCAAATTTATTGGCCTTTATCTGAAGCATTTGTCCAGATATTGGCACATTACAGCCTCTTTTAAGAGGCAAACTGTTTTAGAAATGCTCCTTCAACTTCTCAGCATTTTCCTCATATCCAAATTTTTTCCAGAAGCAGATACAGAATTTTGATTTCCTCCCTTTGTATGAACTGTAATTTTTTCCCCAGATATTGCTTTTGCTGCATCCGTTTTGTATTTCTTTAAAAAGAAGTTAGTTTCCCCATCTACATGTCTTATCCAATCTCCATTGACAACACAATCATTTTCCCCAAGATATGTATGCTTTCAACACAAAGATTTAATAACCTTTGTAAAGAATATCTTATGTCCTGCAGAAGACCTAAATACAAAATCCCATTTGGAGAGCATTAATGCTAAAAACAAACCAATAAGGATCAAAACTTTTTATTCCCTAAAATTCCTCTTTACCTGAAGAACAAAAATTTCAATTTCCACCATGGCATCAACCTTGAATAGAACTCTGACTAGTGACTTAAGAGAAGGAAAAAAAAAAAAAAAAAAGATTTACATTTTTTTGGTTCAGTAGTCATACACACCATATGGGCTAAGATATGCTTACTGTATTCTTGTGCTTCTTTTAGAGTTGGATGTCACATCTGTCTCACATAGTCTTTGTTTAGAACACAGATAAAAAGGTTGAAGATTGAAAGAAAAATGCAAAGTTGTTTTCTTTTATGAATGGAATGTGGATGATTTTTACAACTAGTAATTGTTTTGTTAAAATTAGCAGAAATTCTGCAAAAGAGATGAAAAATCCCAATTAAAGATATCCATACAGTTTTTTATCTGATTTTCATACTCTTGAAGATTTGCAGTGGCAGCATAAAATGACATTAACTGCTGTGTAAAAAACTGGATTGGTTCAAAAGTGAGGCTTTACTGTATTATCTTTTGGGAGATGGTTTAATGTAGTTATTAAGGGGGGGAAAAGATTCTAACAGCCTAATTCACAAAAGACAAGTGAGACAGAAAGAAATGTAATTCTCATGTTTTTTAGCATGTTTCTAATTTTGGTAGAAGTAATAATTTTTCATTTTCATAGCACACTGTTAGTTTTCACGTGCTAGTAGAATTGCTCTACTTATTTTCCAAGTCTCTTAACCATTTGACTGCTATGTGGCACAAAAGCGCTGCGTTCGTTTGTCTCGAAAACCGTGACGCAGTTAGTTATTTTAGAATGCACTCGTATTACAAAGTATGCGTGAGGTCAGACTATGTACGTTCACACCCACGGAGCAACAAAGACACGCTGCGTCGCGTTTTTCGAGACAAATGAACGCAGCGCTTTTGCACTGCGTAGCAGTCAAACGGTTAATATGTTAAATAAGAGCATATGAGCAACACAACACTAATGAGAATAATGAAAATGTTAGAAATAGAGTGAAAATAACTTTAAATCAGAGATGTTTGTTTATAAAAGCAAAAAGAAATACTTTTTTTTGTTTTGAATAAGCATTTGAAATTCTTGCATAGTTTCATTAAGTCATAATGAGCATGCAAATGCATGAGAAGACAAGTTTAAGAAAATGTTGCAGTTTAATGAATCTATTAGATATTTTAGCAAATAGCTTAAGCTGCAGTTGTATTGTTGCTCCCTTAAGATAAAACTTATCTTTGTCAGAATGCAACAGTACCTTTATGAGCATTTTAATTTTGTGTAATAAACATGCATACATTAAAATGGGAAAAGGAAATTGTCAAAAGTTATTGAATTAGATCATTATAGATTTTGCCAAATATTATTTATTAAGATGGCTTAACATTTAATTTCAATAATGTTACTTTATATTGCATTAATAAGGGAAGACATTTTTCTGAATATTTAAAAAAAAGTTTAAATTGGAGTAGAGATTAGAGTAGGTCTGAACTAGCATGGAATGTGTGTGATGTTGCTTGATTAGCTATACTCTATCATTTTTAAGTCTTATCAAATCAAAATTTTAAGTATACCATGAGACTAGTCATAAAATTTTGTTTAAAGATCATTCAATAAATTGGATGCAATGAAGTAAAGGAACAAGTATGCAGTGAAATAAAATATGTATGTAAGATAAAAAAATATGAAAGCAAACTTCTGTTTTTAATTGGCTATAAGCTCTTTTATTTTTCATTTAATTTGGGGACTTTCTCTCTCTTATCTTAAAAATAGCAATATAAGTCTAAACTGCATCATTCAAATTAACCATACAATCCCACGTAACGCTTTATGCAGATACCTGGTACCCAATCAAATAATTGTAAACCAAAACATTTTAACCTGAACTGAAATTTTTGATTCCCTCTGAATTGATATGCCACTTTTCGCGTCAACTTCTGTGCTGCGTGGATGCTTCGCTATGCTCGCTTCTATCGCCATAATATAAAAAAATTTAATACTCTGGAAATAGGCATGATTGGAGTGCCAAAGAAATTGTGGCCACAGATGTGAATTTAAATAAATAAAAAGAAAATTAATCCGGCTCGACTTGTTCCTCTTTAATATGGATCAAGTATCTACGCTAAACAACATTACTACATTTCTACATCTCAGTGGTCTTTTATCAGTGCTTCCAAAATAGTGCTTTCAATTACATTTTTTAACAAAATACATTAGCTGCTTTAAGAATAATTGGCGACCTCAAAATTAACTATTCTAGATTTGGTGCTCTTCCCTTAAATTCATCTGTTCTCCCAATTCCGAGATCCTTCTGCGTTATATAACAACCTAAAATTAACAAATCACAGATTAGCTGTACTTATACCTCAGACTTTGTATAAATACTCTTGGCACAATAAACTACATCATTCCTTTCCCTAGCTTCCCTGCAAAGAACTCTGTGCCGTGCTGTCCTATCTAAAATGCCTATGTCTTACTTTTAAATTCAGTTTACCGTATTTCATTATGATTACCGGATTTCATTATGATTGGATAAATATCTACTAAGATGGTTTTATATGCATGAAATAAAGATTGAAAATTCATCAAATTCATTTTGTGTCAGGATCATGTTCCTGTCCTGCCACTCTGCCATCACGACTATGCATTAAAATATCGCATATATATACTGGAATCAATATGATGTTCTCAGTAAAGAATATAATTGAAAGCTATTTTATGGATGTAAAATATAGCAGTATAATTTTCAGATTTATTTTATGCAATAAAGTAATGTTTAGAAAGAATGTTACATCAAATAAATGAGGCTTTTTAATTATTGTGGCATATAGTAGCATTCACCAATAAAGTTAGTTTTTCCTTTGACATTTCTAGCTTTTTTAAAATTATTTTTATTATTATTTAAGAACTCATATGAATTATGCAATTTGTCAGCTATCAAATGATGAAGAGCCACAATTAGTTTCTTGAAAGACAAAGGTATTATCTACACTGAAAGACTGTTCAGGAACACAAAATGAAATTATATTTTACTACTACTAGTGCATTGAATAATAATATTGTGAAAAGAAAAGGTTACAGATTAGATGGTGGTTCAAAGATTTATGCATTTCTTTTCTGATGACTGTTTCGTGTATTTACTTCGGATATCAAGAACTGGCATTAGTATCAACGACACTGAATTTAAATGCTATTGTTTGAGCTTTAGATTCAGTTTGTTCAATATTTTTGCATTTAATAGTTTTCTGTACTTAAATGATGGAAGTATTTTTGTATTTAAGGACACTTGTTGACTCTTGTAATTTGCTACGAGGCTTGCATTTCTTCTGCAGTATTTGAAGTGAAGATAAGGTTTACACTTTCAGGGAAAATCTGTTTAAGAATTTTTTAGCTCAATATTAAGCTTTTGTTAAAGAAGCAAGAAAAACCATTAAATCAAGAAAATCGTTAAATTGGGATTTAATTATAATTTTTTAGCATAGCCTACTCCAAGAAATAATGTAAAAATCCTGCTGTACTAGGGAATAATCAATGTTATCTATTTAAACCAATTCTTTTTTTTTAACCTCTCACCAACTTATATACATAGGTAAGGGAGGGAATGTTAGCGATCTAAAAATTCAGTGGTGAGTTTTCAATGAATAAACATGAATTAGGGTCCCCACAACACATTTACAATGTGTGTGATTTCCCCCCCCCCATCTTTGATACCTCTTATATCACACTTTCAAAAATCCCTTTTTTCTCCATAGAAGATGTGTACATTCATACAAAGAACTTATAAGGTATTTCTTCCGCCTTCTTAGCATGCCTTCATGGTGTAGGGGTCAGCACACTCAGCACGTATTCGAGATGTCCGTGGTTCGTGTCCCAATGAGGGCATTGTTCATTTTTTTATCTCTCCTGCTTAAAAAAAAATATGTATTGTTTCTAGAGTGGCGCCCGACCTAAAAAAGGTGGTGGATGATGATTCTCCACCACCAAGATTTCGCGTTTGGGTCCCCTAATCCCCAGTCTCCCTTTAAAAAGGGAAGTATATAAGGTATTTCTCCCACCTTACCATGCCTTCATGATGTAGAGATCAGCACACTTGGGCGTATTCGAGAAGTCCGTGGTTCAAGTCCTGGCGAGGGCATTCCTCATTTTTTATCTCTCATGCTTTCAAAAAATACCTAATGTCTCTACAAACTGACTGGATTTTAAGTAAAATTGGACAACTAGGAAGTAGTAATTTACTTTTGAAGTGCATAACAATTTTGAATGAAAAACTATAACTATTAAATTGTAATTTAAAGCTTTCCAATTTTAGTATTTAAGATTTTTATATCAATGGGACAACATATTAAACAGGGTTCATCGGTCCTTTAAAAGTCGTGAGGTTTCTGGAAATAATTTTTGGTCCTTAATTTTACTCATCTGGCATTACTGACTGCTATTTTACAACTGCTATTTTTAATGTGAATTAGTATTTTGGTGATTCATTGACAAATATGTACTGGATGGGTTATCATTTGAATTCTCTCCTAATATAAATGATGCAATACTCGAGTTTCTGGGCTCGAGGCCCTGTCTCGATTGGAATATAAACATTTAGAAAGTTTCTTTTTGTGAATGAAGAGTTCATAAAATATTACATCAAAAACAACTTTTCTCTTTTGGGGGTATGAATTCTTTTGTTATACTGTGTCTATTTCTGAACATTTTAGCATTTAAGAATAGCTTATATACAAAAGTTTTGATTTTTTTTAACAAACTTAATAATAACATTAAAAACATTGACTATGTGTGATTAATTGAAAGTGGTACTTTACTTGGAACTTTTAATAGATTTTCCTTAAAAAAGTATGGAATCACTGTAATAAGACTTTGGCAGACAGGTTTGTCAAATTGTGCTACCTATTGATTGGTTCTGCTGTGTTCAGACATTGGCCAGAGAAAACTAGTCAACTAAAGAAAATACATTATCTAGGTAAAAATTTAGTGAGCAACAATTTCAATCTAAATTTACAACTCATATTGAATAGCTCTGAAGATTTTATAAACATTAATGATAATGAATTTGTATCTGAAAAAAGTATTTTATGAAAGTATTGTATGTAGTAATGTTGTAATTGTTGATCATTGTAGAAATAAATTTTTACTGCTCTAAAACAAAATGCTGCTGTTGTCCATGCACTAGGTGATGGTTTGTGTCTTTTTAGATATCTCTTCATATCTGTTTGGTATTGAAGTATTATACTCATGTATTTTTCTTCCTTGTTGATATGCCATTAATGCTTATTTTGATTATTTAATACAGGAAGCAGCATCAAAAAATATTTGGGTTAATGCAGCACATATTAAAGTTGTTTTATCATATCTAAGCATAATATTTATATCAAGCCATAGAAAAAAAAATTTTTATACCAGCATTTCGTTTGCAGAACTTAAAAACTCTTTTAATACAGACATGTTACCAAAAATGCACTTGTCATTTTCTTGTACTGTTGATGATGTTGGTGCACTGGCAAATAGCAAATTTGAAAACACCTATTGTTTTATTTCTTACTCATCCTGAAGTGTTCGGTAGTCACTAAACAGCTGTAATTCCAAAAATTAATTCCTCAAAACTGTTTACCGATACCTACATTGCAGAGTGTAGATCAAAATGAATTTGGATTTGTTGTTGATGCTATAGAAATAATATATCAGAAAATTAAATTATGGTATTTGTTTTAAATTATTTTTATAAAATATATTTTATGCATTTTATTTTGTGTAATTAAAAAGTCATGTTATTCAACTGCCCAATAAAATATGTTTTAAATGAAAAAGGAGGGAAACATTTGATTATGTTAGTATAAATTTAGAAAAACCATTTTTTATACATGGCCATTTACATCTAATAAAATATAATCCAAAATTTTATATTCCAGAACCTTTCTATTTATTAAAACAACAATTAGATTTTGTGTACAAATAGTCAGTCGGAAGTAATACTTTATGTAAAGCTCATTGCTGTTTAAAACATGAAATTGGTTAGATGTCATGTGTTAGCCGCATTTTTTTAAATTTTGTTTTTAAGACTAGAAAGTATTTTTAAAATATCTTTAAGAGTATTTGTTTTCAAGAAGCTTTACTGCTTGCTGAAAACAAATCCCTCTTTGAGAACAAACGATGCAAGCAAATGTAGCTATGTATTTATTTCACTGAAAACAATGTAGTGAAATATATTTATGGTTACATCTTCAGTTATGAGGTCTTTTCTTTATTAAAATAATATCATAGCAGATTTTTTTCCCCTAGCTTTGCCATTTTAAACATCTTATTTTAAAAGTAATATTTAATATTCTGTATATATAATTTCTGAGGGACTAATTCATGGAATATTTGCTTATTACAATTGCTTTGCTTAAAGTTATTTAAAATGTTACATTAAAACTGGCAGATTAAAATGTGATTGCAGTTTCTTTTTAGTCTGATGATTTTTAACTTTTTGAATTTAATCGAAAGCTCTTTGGGGTACTAGATTGTAAAATGAAGTTTTCGGATTGGATTTTTTTAAATGTATTCTATGTGCTTCAAACTTGCTCTTTTTTTGGGGGGGGGGGTGTATGTGTGTGTTATTGAGAAAGGAAAAATTATTCTCATTGTAGGTCCCTCCCACTTCCAAAAAAGTGATAAAATTGCATTTATATGCAAAATTTTTATTGCATATACTTTTCTCTGTATTTTGTAGTCGCACTAGTAAAGCATTCTCAAATCAGCAAACAATGAAGTCTTGTGGTTGCGTGGAAGTATATTTACAAGCGTTGCAGGTTTTCTTGGGTGCTTTAAATGTAAGTTTTCTGTTTCTGTCCATTAGATTATATTTTAACAAGTTATCTGTGTTTCAAAAGTAGTTTTCTAAATATAAAATTGTTTCTATTATTTCTGGTATTTGTTACTGTACATCATAATAAGTTTTAAATATTTTTCATAATTTTTAAGTTTGTAATTAATGATTATATTAAACATCTGTCTGTATATTTGGTTTATAGTTGCCATATGAGCAAGCATTGCTTCAATCTGCAGTACGTCAGTATTTACACAGGATGGTAGTTTGCTTAGAATCTGAAATGTTGCCTTTCTTCCCAATAGCTGCTGAGCAGCTACTCAAATCATCTGACATACGTAGCATTCAAGAATTTATTCCACTTATCAATCAAATCATAAGTAAATTTAAGGTAAAAAATTTTCCGTATGTATGTGTGCCTTTATATATTTCATGTTTAAGAATTTTTTAGTATACAGGTATTAGTTAACTCACACTAATACATGACGATCAATGTATTTATGCCTTTTAGCACAGAAATATATTTTCAGTGTTAGCAGAGTTATTGCATTTTTTTATTCCCAGAGAGTATTGTCTAGTAACCGCATTGAGAATTGCATTGAACAGACTTTTCTGCAATTTATCTGTTTTTTGTGCTCTGTTAAATGAGAAGAAAAGGAACTTCTCTGAAACCAGTTCCCAGTTTTTAATCTAACACTTTGCCGGCATTAAATTTCCTTTGTACATCGTTCATCAAGTACAGTTCATTTTGTGTGAATTGGAACACTTGCTTTATTTATTTATTTTATTTACTTATTTATTTTTTATCAAAATACTGTGCACCTGAAAATGGTTGATTGCCTCATTTCTCTACAATCTAGTAAAGACATGATGTAAAATATGATAATAATTAAGACAAACTTTGCTATAAGAATTTTTAGCGGGGAAAAGGTTACTCCCAAATATGATGCTGCAATACTTCCAGGAAAGTGGAATTGTGAGTTGTATTATTAGTGGGTGCAGCATAATAACCCTAATATAAACTTTTTATACATATATTGTTTATCATTTTAGCCCTCGAATTTCACAGTAGCAATAAGTAATTTGCTTTGTTACTACCAAAGGGAATGCAGGTAGTTATAACTACTGTGAACCATTGTACTATTTTTGCCCCCCCCCAAATCATGTGTAATTTTCCATTTGTGCGTATGTGCCCTAATTAATTTATGAGGTAGATTTAATAAAGATTTAATATGCCGTGAATTAATTAGGTAATACAGTCAAAAGTCGTTAATCCGGACTTGTCGGGACTTCGGCGATTCCGGATTATAGATCATCAGTTTAAATCTGGTAAGATGGCATGCAGAAATTACAAAATTAAAAATATGAAACCATAATTTATGAAATAAAGAACAATTATGATCTAAAGGGTATCAAAATTTACAAAAAGAAAAGCTTAATATTTTTATTTGTTTACTTTATTAAAACATTTCCTTCAATGTAAGTTGCTTCGTTTCATGTGATAATACTTCTCTTTAATTCTATTAAACAGACATAATTCTTGTTAGTTACAAAGTTCCGCTGTTCAAGTCCTATAATTGCTGTGTTGAGAATACCGACTAATTTGTCAATTGAAATGTTTTCGTTTTCAATAACCTCTGGGTCACTTTCTTCACTATCCGAAGCGAATTATAATGAGGAGGAACTTGATTTAAATCATATCAAAGACAGAGTATATCGAGATGAAATACTACACTTAGTACGGAATTATAAACCAAATAAAATAAAAACATCTGCCCTGAAGATAAGGATAGTGCTGACAGATCACGTGAAATTGATAAACAGATTTCGGATTTCAAAACATACTTTTGCTTTGTAGATACAAATTACATATTAGTAAATATATATCGGAAATTCTATTTGATGTAATCTTTCTAATCTATCATAATCTAATAATGACGTTTCTGCCCCCCCCCTCTGCCCAGAGCAGCATGAAATTGATAAACAGATTTCGGATTTCAAAACATACTTTCGCTTTGTAGTAAATACATATCGGAAATTCTATTTGTCATAATCGAAAGTTTAAGCTTACTTTTATAAAATTGCTCTAAACAGTCTGCAAAAAATAATAAGCCGGATCCAATTCGAAGATTGATTAAGGAACAACGCAATCAGCAACATTAACTGAATTAGATAACTTTACCTTAGCGTATAACTCCCTGTATACACATTAAACGCGCATGTGTAAACGTATTATGCGAATGCACACACGCGTATTCGCAGCCGTAAGGGTCTTACGCACTCTCGTAAACGCCTGTGCGCATGCGTGAACGCGACGCATGCGCAGAAAGTTTGTAGCTTTGAGGTTCGGATTATGGGTGTTCGAATTAACGACTTTTGACTGTATAAAACTTTGGTCATTAGATACATATCTTTCAAAACAGGTGGTAGCAAAAGTAAAATTAATTCTTTTTTTAGTATTTACTATCAAAAGCATTGCATTGTGCATTTTACATGAACAAATGTATTGTCAGTTAATCGAAATTGTGAATCCATTCAGTTAAAAAATGAGATGATAGTATTTTATAGGTAATGATGGTTAAGAATGCCTAACCCTTCTTCTTGAATAAATTTTATAATGTAGTTATTTTAGTTTGTGTCATATTTGTGATAAAGTATTTAGAACTAATTATCATATTTGCTAAGATTTTGTAATCATTTTATTTTAGAATAGAAATTTTTGGGACTTCTGTTATCGGGACCAGGTTCAGAAATGTGTGTTCAGAAATATGAATGTATGTGCTCATGTGTGCATGTAATATATGCACTGTACATAAGTATGTGCATGTATACACACATTCCTGAATCTGCTCTCGATAACAGAAGAGTACCAAACGTTTTTTCTCCCTCTCATAAATTACATAAATCAGCAGTTGCCAAACTTTTCTCTTGCTCTCGCTTATTTCTTCATAGGACTTTGTATTATAGACTACCCTTAACCTCCCATTTCAGAACTGTAATGCTCTTCCTCACCCCTTAGAGTATTCCCACAGTATATCTGCTACTGCATTATTACTTATTTTATTGCCATAGAATTAATAGACGATAATTAATACAGTAGGAAAAATATAATAAAACTAGTACTACATGTTATCATGGCATTCACAGGAAACAAATAATAACCAGACAGTTATTATTTGTTTCCAGTGTAATTTTAAACTGAAACATAATATTAATAACGTACCACAAGTATTTTGAATATCATATTCACTATAACAGAAATGAAAAAATATGTGATCTGACAATTTTTTTATTATTATTGATGAAATCTAGGCTATACTAAAACCTTAAGCATTCTTAGAATAGTATTGTACCATAGTAAAATACTAAACTTATACTTATTTCCAGGTAAATTAATATAATCATTGTACATACTAAATTTAAAACAAAAATTTAGACATGATCTGAAAGGTTTAATAAATTGATGTACAGAACAGAAACATTTGTATATCAACATATACAGGAAAAAATATACCATTTTATTATTATTATTATTTAGTAGTAGTAGTAGTAGTAGTAGCAGTAACAACTATTAATTTAAAAGTCATCAGATGTGTCCTTGTTTTTCTAAGAAATTATACTGTGTGACACGAATAGTGCTCATTTTTCGAATACTTTCTTATCCAAACAGGCATTTAGCAGCAACATGAAATTTTTTGCAGCAGTATGTATTTTTTTTAAATCACTGTTAATGGTATGAAAACTTTTCTGCAGGATGCTACGATTGCATTTTCATCATCTGGGTTGGCTGATAATAAATAAGATTGTGATAGCTGAAAAAGGTTTTTTAATTTTTATTTGTAATAGAAGGGTTTTGGATTCTGAATGATGCAGCGGTAATGAAAGTTTCTTGCTTCCATTTGATAAACATTTCTTATCTATTACAGAAAGAAGATTGGGGCTATCTTTGTCTCTTGTGAATTAAATTCCATACTAAACATCTGTCAGAATACTTCCTTTTCTTTTAAGTAGGATGGCTGTTTGGAATTTTCTTACTACTAGTTACCTTTACTAATACTTATTACTAGTTACTACTAGTCTACTTGTCTCTTACCAGAGTAATAGTTTCATCCTGGCCCTTGGCAGGTTCTTTAGAAATGCAGATGCAAAACTAGACCTATAATCCATGGTGCTTTTAGTTTTGTGTGAAAAATCTACTTTTAGCCACTTATCCATTTTTAATAAAACAAACCTTACATTTAGCATCTCTAAAAGAAGTTGAATAAAACTCCATTATCCAACAAATTTGATTATAATGTAAATGTAAAGAAAGGTAGCTACATTACTCATTAAGGATTAAGTCATTGTTAAAAATATTGACTGCCAATCATTTTATAGGATTCACTGTGACTAAGCAGAAAAAAAACTGGGTATATGCAATGAGTGAGGAATCAAGCAATATGAATGGTATGAGCAGTATGAATACTGGAATTCCTCATAATTACTTTCTCTTTTTATTCTGTGACAAATTTAAACATTATGAACGTTTCATATTTTTATCAGTATTCGTTATAATATTTTGTTGCTTTCCACCATTATTGTTAATTTTTGGTTTTAACACCAACTGGAAACTGCTGACATAGATAATTTAAATGTGATTTTTTTTATTTTTATTTATTTTTATTTTTTATTTATTATTTTATTTTTTTTTTTTTTTTTTTTTTTTTTTTTTTTGTTTTTTTTTGTTTAAATTATTACTAGGATAGGTTAAAAAATAATTAAAAGACAAAATGTACTGAAACTATCAAAGAGCAGAATTAGTTCTAGCTTTAGATGCTACAACTAATTCAGTGCTTCGATAGTTTCTTCAGTGTTATGGATTTTATGGGCAGCATATGTTTTGCTGCTGTTTGAATTGCTGCCAAATGAAGGAAATATACCCAGCATTTAACAGAAACTAAACTGAGATACTGAGTGATTATATATGTAGGTCAGTCAGAAAGTTTATCGCACTACTGCATAAATATGTTCCGTCTAAGACTATTTGGATGACATTGTGTGGCAACACTTCAGACATGTACCTTTATTGTGTGATGTAGCGGCTTCCCTGAGGCAAGTTTATTTTTTCTGATAATCAGTCGCAAACATATCTCGACAGCTGTAAATAGCGTCCAGATTGGAAATGTGTGCAGTGATTCATATTTTGTGGGCAAAAGGTGCAACTGCACTGAAATTTATGGACAATTGCATGAAGTGTATGGTGAAAATGCAATTTCATGTCAAGCTATCGCGAAATAGTGCAACATGTTTGAGAATGGATGTACAGATATTGACGACACTGAGCATGAGGAAAGACCATCAAATGCAACAAATTCGCAAATCGCTGCTCGTATAAATGAATGCATTCTTGCAAACAAACGCATAACGATAGCCAAAATCTCAAATAAAGTGGATATTTCTCATGGAATTATGCACAAAAATATTGCCGATCACCTTAAATTTCGTAAAGTTTGTGCTTGATGGGTGCCACGTTTATTAAGGAGAAAGCGTTTTGAAAGTGCATTTGCATTTCTGCAACATTACCAAATGGAAGGAAATGAATTTTTGAACAAAATTGTAAGTGTAGATGAAACTTGGATTCACCACTTTACACCTGAAACTAAATGCAGCTCGCTTGAGTGGAAACATTGCAGTTCCCCGACACAAATAAAGTGTTGAACTGTTCCATCTGCAGGAAAGGTGATGATGATGCTGTTTTTTGACAGGGAAGGTATGGTGCATACAGAATTCATGCCAAATGTTGCCACAATTAATGCATCTTCTTATTGTGAAACACTAAAACGATTGCGGAAATCATTTAAAAATCGACGGCCACGTAAATTCTCGAAAGGCATTGTGCTCCTGCATGACAATACTAGACAGCATGTAGCAAAACAAACGTGCAAACTTCTGAAAAAGTTTAGGTGGGAAGTGTGGAATCACCCTCCTTATAGCCCAGACCTTTCACCTCCTGACTTCCATGTGTTTGGTCCCATGAAACAAGAACTTTCAAAGCGATGATACCATTCGGATGTCAAACTGAAAGCTGCAGCCCAGCAATGGTTATTGGACAGGATTTCTTTGCAGAAGGCACCGAAAAGCTTGTACCATGTAAGTAACGGAGGTAATTACATTGAAAAGTAGATTTTGAATGAAACTTTAAGATATAAATAAAGTTATTGTAAAATTTTGCTCCTGTTTTGTTTTCTTAGGCAGTGCAACTAACTTTTTGACTGACCCTCATATAATTCATAATGTTAAAGGATACTGGAGGTACAGAATAACTGCCAGAATGATAAAATATTTGCTGTGTTACCTAAACAGAAAGATAACATCCTTTTTTGAGATAAATAGAAAATCAGCAAAATAATGGAGAAAGATTTTCCATAAATTATTAGAGATAACCTGCCATAAGTATAAATGACTGGATTATTTTCAGTGTAGTTAGTAAATGAAAACATCTTTTGTTTTACCATTGCTAAAAGTCTGATATTGGAAGGAAGGAAGATCTAAATGTATCAATGGCAAGTTCTTTTAAAAGCAAGATTCGATTGTAAGAGATCGCATCCCAAAAGAAAAAAGGTAAGAGATATGTTAGATACTTTTACATATTCAGGATTGAAAATAAGCGAACATTTATAAATTGTGCAACTGTTGTTCATCGTATGAAAAGCACTTTATCCTGATGCATGAATGCTCTGTTAAATTATTGAAAGTTCAATAATTTTTGCCCTTTAAAGAAAAAATATATGAAAGTTGCCTGGAATTTTCATGCTAAAGCATTACTTTTCAGAAAATAGGTGGGCAAAAATAATTAAATGAAATAGTTATACATCTTTCATCTGATGGTTCAGTGTGTAATGGTGCATCAAGTATACTTTTAAAAACAAGAAAAAAATGTGTTTACAACAAAATATAACAAAAATCAAATAACAGTTGAGGATATATTATTAGACATCTTTACCTTCTGTGTCTTACATCTTTAGTGCCACTGGCTATTAGGGCACATATAGCGCCCTCTAGTTGAGTAGCATGGTAATTATATGACACAACTGACCAATGGCAAATGTTTTTTGCAATTCTAATGGGTCAATAATGACCTAAATTAAAACTCAGTTATGAGTACTACAGTTTCTTTACTACAGTTCCTGAAAGAAACTGTAAGATTTCAATTATTAGTCTGTCCAGATTAATAAGTTAGTTAATAAAAATTTAAAGTGTATTCTGCATCCTTGTGTAAATTTTTACCTCCAACATTTACCAAAAAAAAAAAAAAAAAAAAAAAAAAAAAACTTTAAAGCAAGTGCAGTTACTCATGCTGCAAAAAAGAGCCCTTTAATTTTTCTTCTTGGAGACATTATGGATATCCCTTTAACTTTAAAAAGACAGAAAGACTGCAGGTTAAATTTGTCAATTATTTAGGGAGAAGAGGAAACTCTGTAGCTAACTTACAACTACTACCTAAGGAAAAATCAGTAATCAACTTATTAGTGCTGAACAACAGGTTATTGTGCTATGGATTTCAAACCATTGTATGAATCCAGGTAATAAGATTACAGATAAACTTATTAAATCACTTATTGTTACCCAACCAAATCATCCTCTTTCTATAAAAAAGGTAAAAAGTTATCAGCTGTAAATTCAAATATTTAAGGCACATCTGTTGTTGGAAACATCCCTTTAAATTTAAAGGGTGCGATTTCTCCTGATTTGCCTATAAGAGTTATTGTAACATGTTTCTGCCTTTTGAAAAATCATGATTTTCTGTGGCAACATCTAAATAAAATTGGCCTAGTGACTTTTTTGACATGTCTGCTTTGCAAGTTTGACTTTATAATTAGCTAGGGGTTTTGAATTAAATGTAAAGAACTTAATATCTTTTTCCTGTGAGATTTTGTATTTGATCGCCAGATGGGACAGACCCAGAAGATTGTAACTGAGCATCAGTTTAAAAATCAGCTAATCTGCATCCTTGACTTTGTTTTCTTTAAGGAAAGTCTGATTGCTCTATAAGTTGCAATCATACCAGATAAATCAACGAACATTTTTCTTAACACATTGACTAAGAAATGTGTTATCATAATGAATTTAGGTTACAATACCTGGTATTGTAAAGGTATCTTTTTTTTTTTTTTTTTTTTTTTTTTTTAATATCATTTGGCTATAGCGCAAGAGGATTTGCAATATACTTCCAATATTTGTATACTTTCTTAATAATAAAAAACTGTTGAAGTTCATTGATTTCCCATGGTGACCCCCTTTTTTATATTAATATTTGTAATAAAAATTGCACACAACTTGCTAAATATTTAAAAATTGTAAACATAGTTCATTGCAACTATTGTCAGATTGTTGGATTCCTTATTCCCATTTGTAAAATCTTGTGATTATTCCTCATTCTCTTTCATTTCAAATACATTCTGCTGTTTGATGACTTCACTGAGAATGTTTAATATAATAATAGGAAAATGACAGCTTTGATGTTACTGGAGCAGTATTAAACCATGGCAATTATTTGAGAGAGTAGGACACATTATTGAAACATTGTTAAGTTAATATTAATATATGGTCTGCCAGTGGTCAAGTGGATAAGACTGCTGAATGCTTGTATTGGGAACTGAACTTGGGCCAGAGTCCAGGTGAACAGTCTGGTTACATGAGTATTTTCATGATTTTCTCGATGTGTAATATCATTATGAACCAGTTTCCTGTACAAGTCCTTCATGAAAGCATTCCTCTCTTTAAGTTTATAGCTCACTCTTGCTTTGTTTATTCAAGTTAAAATTTTGTGCATGAGCTATATTAAAAAGTTTTTACGAGTCCCCCCCCCATGAATGAAAATCAGATAAATGACTGTTATTGTGTGCATTTGAAGTTCGAAATGACTTGTTTAAATTATTTTGTTTTCAGGAGTTGCTAAATTTTTATTTGGTTATGTGTATAGACACGTTTTTAAAAGAATTTCATACATTTTTCATTGCAGAAGGAAATTGTCCCTTTTCTTCAACAAATTTTTATGCCTTTCGTCAATGTTATTTTTAATGCATTGTCAGTTCCAGTTGATGAGAATGACCAACCTGCTCAGAATGAAAGGCAGCTTTTACAAAGGAGCTACTTTCTTTTCATTGCTGCAATTGTTACTAATAATATTACAGAAGTCATTGCTGCACAAGGTAACTGTAACAATGCTTTATTTTTTATTTATTTATTTTTTTTTTAAATATCTTGGAGGAGAGATTATTGTGTATATCTAGCATTTTGTGCCAAATTTGTTGTAAATTGATGAGATTAAGATCTTTCATTTTTCCTGCATAAATATGAAAAAAAAAATCATTTAACCCTTTGCGACACACATATTTAAAATATATTTTAATCTTTAAAAAAATGCCTTAGAATAAGTCAGATGGACTTACTTAAGTGCCTTTAAGGCTTGAAAAAAATTCTGCGCTTTTATTTTTTACGGTGGAAGGTGGGATACCGTTTGTCCCACCATGCAACTAGCACATGTCTTATAGCATATTGGTGTATAGCAGGGAAAAAAAATCATATGTGGAATGAATAAACAAAATAAAGCGTGCATTCTAAAATATTCATAATAAACACACTAAAATGCATTTTGTACTTATTGCATATATGCATGACTTGTAAAATTTTGCATATAGTATATATTTAATATTTTTAAATTTTAGGAACAAAAGAAAATATTTTCTTGAATATTATTTTAAGATTAAAAATAAAATATTAAAATTGGCACTTGATTCAAAAACATTTATATATGATTAAAATTGAAAAAAAGTCATTTTTCATGAAACTTTGAAAAACATGTTGTTTCATTCTTTTGTAAGCATAGAGGCACTTCACATGTTTCACACATCCAAAATGTTCGTCGTTCTTCTTTCGATATGCTGCAATATGCACATCTTCTCCTGCTCGTTCTCTTTGGCGTTTTACTTACATTTTTTAGTCTCTTTTCTGGTTGTACGAACGGATTTTTAGTTTTTATTTGAACTGGGGATTTCAGTTTTCTTTTCAGCTCTTTCTTGCCTGCAAGTGCCATTAGACCTTCTATAACTGAGAGAAGAAAATCTTTCATTGTTTTTACATCATGATCAGGTTCGCGAACAAACTAAATGAATAAATGTGTTTACTATACTCGCATCTAAAAAGTAAAAAAAAAAAAAAAAAAAAATCATGTGCCACCATTTCTTGCTTTTGCGGTCTATTTCATATAGTCCTTTCAGTTGATCAATCAGTCGACATATCCCATATTCTTATTGTATGAAATAATGCTGTTTGGGCACAGTACTTTTTTTTTTTTTTTTTTTTTTTTGTCTTTCCATCTCGTTCTTTTCTATTAATTTCTTTCATTTCAGTTGCCTTTTCCAAGCAAGACAGGATAGAAACGGATCTTTTATCCTTCCATTTTATGCAATAAATTGAATCATCGCTAACTGAAAAGTCTATATATCCTCTTGACATAATTTGTCTTTTAAATTTTTGGGTAGATACTTCCGATTCATATTTACAGTGCCACATGCATAGATGCAGTCTGTGTCTTTAAAAAGCGAAACATATTATAACTACTTCCCTTTCTTCTTCAGCAACCTCAGTTATTCTCTCCTGGATTTCAATTTCATCTAATCAGAACTGACATCTGAAGCATTTGAGTCGCAATCGGATGGCAATTCAGCAAAAAGATCCAAAGCTTCCTGAGTTGTTAATTTTTTTCTAGACATTTTAGCACATCAGAGCATACAACGGATGTAAAAGCGCGCGCAATCACGAAAAAAGTAGATGCAAAAAAGAAAAAAAAATAATCGTGAGTGCTGCCATCTATTGAGCGGAAATTCAAGTGTGTGGTGGGACAAATTTTAACCCACTTATTTCAACTGCAAAATTAATGTTATAAAATATTGAAACCAATTAAGATTTTTGAAAATAAAATACCTTTGAATATTAAAAAGAATCATACATATCATAAATTGTATACCAAAATTTTTAAAATATTGAAAAATGCGAGATACATGGATATCACTCTCGTGATCCTATTTTGAATATTTTTTGCTTATAAACTTAAGCCCTGGTATAGTAGTAACATCTACTGAGAAAAATAATAGCTAAAATAGATTATTTTTAAATAGAAAATTTCTAACGGAAATTGCTAACTGAGAAAATAAATATTAATTAGGTGGGACATATATTGACCCACCATGCCGCAAAGGGTTAAAAGAGCACTCTACTTCTTGAAAATATTTTGTATCAGATTTTTTTTACACTGTACATATAACAATATTTCTTGTAAGAGAAATGATTCAAAATTATAAAAAAGGAGTAAAATTTGCACAAGACATTATGAAAGTCATCAATTGTCATAAACATGTCATCGGTATCTCTGATTGATCGAGCTAACATACTGAAAGCGCTCAATTTATGGAAACTTTCCTTAAAGGGAGAGAAAGACTTTATATGCGAAGGTGCAGGGACAGCTTAAGTGTTTTTATGTGCCGTGTTATTCTTTTTAGTATACTAACCTAATTTTCTTTTCTTTTTGTTAAGCTGCTAAATTGATTTTGTTTTTATTTGGATACGGCTGGCTCGCCGGGCTCGTGTCATTTGTTGTTGGAAGGGTTGCGCCTGCTTTTCTTCATAAGGTTCAACAAACCAGGAGGAAGGGCTGCACCCGTATAAAACAAAACAATGTTTCTTGCACCATATTATGATGCGATTGCAAAACTTTTAGTGTTTGTGTACATTATCATCTGCACCAAAAGTAAAATAAAAAAATAATAATGTAATTTTATACTAATATGGACTGCAATCTTTTCTATTAATTCTTTAATCCTTCTCAATTGGTAGTATACTTTTTAATACAGTACAAAGTATAAGATCTGGACATCTTGGGACTTCAGCAATTCCAGATTTTAGTTTATCAGTTTAAATCTTGTAAGATAGCATGTAGAAATTATAAAATTAAGTATATGAAATAGTTGTTTATGAAGCAACGAAGCATTTATAATCTTAAGAGAATCAAAATTTATTTTAAAATGTTTAATATGTATTTGTTTGCTTTGTTAAACATTTCTTTCAATGTACATTTAAGTTACTTCATGTAAATTTTTATTCAATGTTCCATTCATCAAGTCCTTTAATTGCAGAGTAGACAATTCCCACTGCCCTAGAGAAATAAATTCCTACATATTTTTTAAAGTTTATTTGACTAAATCAGTTGTCCTCAATATAAACATCACTAGATGTAATCTTTTGCACTATGAATATCATTTACAAAATCTACTTTGGTACTTTTCTGTTCTACTACTCTAAATTCAGGGAACCAGATTCGGAAATGTATGTATGTGTGCATATGTTTATTTATGTGTACGTGTATATATATATATATGTATGTGTATATACATATCATTTCTGATAATATGAAAAAAAGTTTTTTGAGGGAAAAATATGCATCTAAGAAATCTTTCACTATCCTACTTTTGTTAATTTACATGCAGAAAAATTTTTTCCCTTCCCCAAAGTTGACGGTTGTAGGTCAGTTGTTTTACTTTTGTTGAATCTTTTGTGAACTGTATACCAAGCTGACTAATTTTTTTTTATTATTATTTTACTCCCTTCTCGCTGATTGTATAGATTTTTTAGGATTTCATAAGAATAATTTTTCAACATGCGAACATTCTCATTGCTTAGAACAGCGTTTCTTGAACTGTGGATCGTGACCCCCAGGGGGGTCACGATACCTGCAACAGTGTTTCGCCAAAAAATTTAGCAGTTTTGATATTTCTTTAACTTATAATAATTTTACAATTACCAAATATTTTTACACTATGCATCTGAAAATAGATAAAGATAAGACAATACAGACAAAGAAAAAAGAAAAATGTTTCGACACATTCTTTTTATAATAGAAACGTTCATTTTACTTGCTTTGCACATGACGCTGTCATTTCATCTGTTACTTATTTAAAATTTTCACATTGTTCTATGTCTTAAAATTAGAAATTAAAGTTAATGACCTAAAATTGCAATAGTATATCACAGTACAAGTGAAAAAATTTACAGTTTCACACACACGTGTGTCAGATTTGCGCAATGCTTATGCGGTCTTACAAAATTTTTGTAAGTATTATGGGGTCCTGGGGGTCGCAAAAAAAAATCTCAGTGATAAAAAAGGGTTGCGACTGAAAAAAGTTTAAGAAACCCTGTCTTAGAGGTATGGGACTCCCAGGATACTTCCCATTCACTGTGATACTGCTTTTAGAAGAAGGATGCTTTTGATTAATGTACTCCATATATGTGTCACTGACTGCATTAAAAAAACCAGTACATCTCTGCGAAACTGCCATCTACTTCAACTACATGTCACTTATGACCACATTTGTGGGCAAGAAAGGGAAAAAAAAAAAAAAAAAAAAAAAACCATTCTAGTGCTTTTCAATTAAGCATACTCTGAGCTTATTTGTATTGCCTTCCCCTCCAATTTACTAAATATTAAGATGACAGGACTTTTGTTGCCATCTTGTATTGTGGTAACCTCAGAATATTTTGCATTATTTACAGAATATACGTAAAATATTTTAAATCTGAAATTTAGTCCCCTTTCAAATCTTTGCAAGTATTACAATATCATTTCCTGTCCTGTTTGTTTCTATTAAGGATTGGGATTATTCAGTTATGGCAATGCACACGAGGGCTATCTGCCTAAAGGGAGCGATGCTTTCGTGGAGGACTTTCTAAGGGAAACTGGCTCGTCTACACATTACACATGGGGAACACCACGAAAACGCTCATGCAGCTAGCCCGTTCGCGGGATTCGAACCTCAGACCGAACTACCAGTGTTCAGCGCCTTTACCTCTCGGCCGCTGGTGGACTTGTTTCTGTTAAAGGTTACTGGTTGTAATTGCTCATCAAATTATTAGCTGTGATTGATTCATTAGTAAAATCAGGAAAACAATGTATGGAGATATGTAGAACAAAGATGTAATTTTATTTTTAACCAGCAGCTGTTGAATGTTAATTGCCATGTTGTTGATGCAAAAAACCATCTAAAAAAGTTGTCTTACTTTCAAAGACAATTTAAGAAATGTTTTCAGTGTATTTGCCAGTTTTTCTTATGAGAGAATGGTATAAAATCTGAATGATTCTGAATTGCTAGTTCTTTGTTTCTGAAATATTAAATTATTCGTAAATTAGCTTTTTATGCTTTGTATTATTATTAGAAGCTTCACTGGACATTGTAATATATTAACCCTGAACTTCCATGTGAAATTTCCAGATATTGGTCATTTTCAGTCTCATAAGATTTTGTTAACTTTTAATTGTTTTTTCATAAATACCATTTAATTATTAAAAAGTTTTTTTGTAACGACACTTTATAAAAAACATTTTTCTAAACTTAATATCATTTTGTTATAAATAAGCAATAAATTTTATATGCAATTATTTCTGTGAAACTAATTAATTAGTAAAATGATGCATTTAAAACCACTGCATACATAGAATTAAAATAATTTATTTTTATGACTACTTATTTCATGTATTTTTAAGCATATTCTATGCATAAGAGCTAATCAATCACAGCATGATGGACATTGATTAATTTTCAGTTCTTTAGCAGTTTATTTATTTACTTTAAATCTTTGTGTTTCATTTAATTTTACCTTAAAGTTCACCTGATCAGAAGTTGAAGGTAGTTGCTCAAATAGCTATTTATGCTCCTCATTTAGAGATACAGAAAGACTAATGATTGAGCTAAGCTTCTTTTAAAATAAATAACAATATATATATATCATGTTTCAGCAAATCAGTTACAAACTTTCAGGAGAGATATAGTATACCTAGATGATGGAGAAACACATAACAATGCATGGTTGGAAATGCTTTCCTGGCTCATTAGTGACGACATGAAACACAAGAAAGAAAGGATATGAACAGGGTGAGGTTAATGTTTATTATGCTGAATGCAGCAGAAACCAAGAAATAAGAGCAAAAACAGACGATCCTCATGAAAGAAGGTGTTCAAAATTACGACCCGGACCATGATGCAGGAACCGTGCGTCATGCATATTCCATGCGTGATGCAGATCTTCCATTCATGGAAGATGTGAGACCTGCATCACGTTTCCAGGACCATAATTTCAAGCACCTACTGTCATGAGGATTGTTGTCTGTTTTTCTTCTTATTTGTTGGTTTCTTCTGTACTAAACATAAAACTTCTGTCATCATTACCGTGCCAAAAAAGCATTTCCGACCATGCATTGCTATGTGATTTTCCAACATCTAGGTGTACTCTGTCTCTCTTGAAAGTTTGCAACCTATTTGCTGAAACACTATGTGTGTGTGTATATATATATATATATACATATATATCTTTTAGAGCTTTCAGGTGAGTTGTTATTTTTTCTTGAAGGTGAGCAAACATTTTTAGTTGGCCATTCAGTTGACCAGTTTATTTCATCTTTTTAAATTTCCTCATTGGTGATCTGATATGTCTTGAATGTTGTTTATCTTCATCCATAGCAACTTCATTTAACTGTAACTTTACTATTTCTTGAATTTGCAAGAGATGTTCTTACAAAAGATATATGAATTGTCAACATAGTGGGGTTAGTTTCTCCTCCAAAACTTTAAGGGGAAATGAAGAGGTAGAGGTGGCTAAAATAATATAAGAAACTTTAGTGTTATATGAGTGAAAGGTTTTATAAATTTAAATATAACAGCTCATTAGTCGTTATCGTCATTCATTTTCTATGAATCTGCAGTTTAATTTTGTTAAAAGAGCTTTTAATTTTAAAAAAAAATTTTTTTTGGGGGGGGTGGCTATATATCAGATAATATTATAGTAAAGCTTTTTGAAGAAACAACAACAAAATATTTAAGATGCTAATTTAATTAATATGTATTCTCCATCAGTAACATTCTTCCAACATTGCAATAGATTTTTTATGTCTTTACTGAAGAAATCAATTTATTGGAGAAAAATTGTCAAAGGTCCATTATGAGTGCCTCATGAGAATTGTATTCTTTTCAATCAGTAGAATTTTCAAAGTTTCAAACCACTGGTCCCTAGGCAGTTAAAGAAAAGGAGAAAATTTTTTTTCAAATAAATGAAGAGTAGTTCATATGTTCTTAACGGAATTATTTCAGTTATCCATAAATTAGTAATTACTATTATTTTACAGTGCACTAATTTGCTCGTGGGTTATTATTTTTTTTAATATTTATAAGTTATGTAGTTTCTGCATGAATATATGATGTTTAGTTTAATGTAGGCATAATATTATTTTTAGAAATGCAAAATGTGGAGCGTGTACTATTAACAGTTATTCAAGGTGCAGTAGATTTTCCCGATCCTGTGGTATGTATTTTTATGCTTATTTGCTGAATTTGAAAACAAATTCTATGTTGTCATGCAGAGGCCTATAATATATATATATATGTATGTGTGTGTGTGTGTAGGTTGGGGCAAAAGTCATGGCAACTATTTGTTTTTTTCAAGATACCAGTCCGGTTGGAAAATGTGACATATACAGATGAAAGGACAAGGTCTTAACTACATGTGTGGACAATGAATAGCACTGAAATATCATAACATACGAATTTATTATGGTAGTATACAGGGCAATATGGGTCTTCACCACGCAAAAGAATGATAACACAATACACATAAAGTTGATATGACAAACCTGGGCCTAAAGACCCTCAATGTAGTCCCCTGCCACTGTCACCACATGCTGCCAACGATGTGGGAAGCTCTGAATATCATCAGCCTCAGCATTTGTCACACCATGTGTGAATAGAGTCATCTTTGGTGCACAGCATTAGCAATGTCCTCTCGTGTTGCAAACTGCCTACCACGTATTGGTTCCTTAATCTTGGGAATGAGATCAAAGTCACAGGGCGAAAGGTCAGGAGCGTATAGTTGGTGCTCCAATTCTTCCCATCCCCAACGTCGGAGTAGCTGCCGTACACACTCTGCTTTATGTGGTCTTGCATTGTCGTGCAGAATTATTGCACTGTCCACAAGATCTGGACGTTTATCCCGAACGCCACGTCGTACCTGTCGCACCAAGAAGTCCCTGTAGTACTGTGCGGTCACTGTTCTGCCATGAGGAACAAAGTGGCAAACAATGACACCTCTGACGTCATACTCGACGATCACCATCAATTTGACTGGGGAAGGATTCTGACGGACCTTCTGCTGCTTTGGTGATCCAGGATGTTGCCACTCTGCGGACTGTCGTTTCAGTTCTAGTTCGTATGCCCTGGCCCAAAATTCATCGATGGCGATTATTCGTGACAAGAATTGATCGCCACCCTGTTGCCAGCGTGCAAAGTGGTCGGAGCATATTGCATAGCGCACCCACCTTTGAACTTCGTCAGTGCAAACGGTACCCACCACTAAGCGATTTTGCGTATCTGTAGCTCATTACGCAATATTCTGTGGACGGTGCGTTTCTCAATGCCACTTGCCTTCTCTAACTCCAGTAACGTTCATCGTCTGTCTTCATCAATGAGGTACTTGATGATGGCACGTGCCAAGTCGGTCCGCACACTCACCGGTCGTCCTGAACATTGCTCATCACTGGTTGACACATGTCCTTGCTGAAACTTTCCTACCCACTGTGCTACTCTACGATATGGTAAGGCATTATTCCCAAGGGTTTCTACTAATTCATTGTCACATTCTATCGATTTTCTCCATCGGAGAACAGCTATTTTGATGTAAGCGCGCTGCTCAACACATGTTACTTCCATCTCGCACAACACTCGGCAACTGACTGATTTCAGAGCCCTCACTACCACAGAGCCAGTTATCACAGAGCCATCTGTTGTTCTGCATACACACTATGCCTGCAGAACTTCCAGACGGCGAAAAGTAGACTGGCTGTGAAACAGTGGTGAATAATATTGATTCAATGCAGTTATGTAATCAGTTTATGGTATATTGTGTTAGCCTTAATCTAAGAATGCTGTAGTGATGTTTTTAAAATAATTTCAACATTTTGGCCAATATACATTATATATATATATAATCTTTTATATAATTAAATATATATAACAAACATCTATTGCTTTATAGCAATAGATATTTGTTTCCTTTCTTTGCAGTGACGAGACAGGTCTCATTGCAGAATATGCTTGTGTAACAGTTACAGAATCCAAAACAGAAATACTGTTCAAAAATATAGTTTCCTTTTCTAGAATTTCAGAAGCCAAGACTTCTCATGCAGACTCACAAGCTTTACAATCTTATAGGTATTTTAGTGATGTAGGTTTCTTTGTCACATACTCTTTTGATAAAGACTGTTTTTCAGAATTTTGGGAGTTGTGATCTGAAAAAATGACTTTCTCCGAGTCTGCAGTTTCAGTAGGTGCACTTTCATTTTCACAGAAAAGCATAGTTTTAAAAAAATTATTTTCTTGGAACACAGGTTTATCTGCAGATCTTTCTGATGCATCCCATGAAATGCTGTATCTTTATTTATACCAAGAATTGCAGGTGGACAACAGATAGAAATTCCCAAAACATTTATATTTAGTTGAAAATGTATTAGTAAAAGTTATCAGTCAATTCTGTATAATTGGGCAGTGAAATTGCATTATTTAAAACAGATTCACATGTTTTTATATGAGAATTATCAGATTCTATTGGTTTATCAACTGCCTTTGTACTCTGTTCATCAAATATAGACAAAATGTTAGTACTTTTTCTACATACTATACTTAAAGATGTCCTTTTAGCTTTATATATTGGCTTCAATTAATCTCTCCCCTTTTGTTCTTGTGTAAATATTTCTGGAGAGGTCTTTATCAGATCTAATTCAGAATGTCCATCAAGTTTAATTTCCGTTTATTCTAGAAATCTCTGTTTAACAAAAGTTTTATCATAAGAATTTGAACTTCTTCATATCATTTTGCTTCTTCAAATAATCAGCTGTTCTATAATTTAAAAGTTACCTTCCTTTATCTAGTGCAGGGCTTCTTAAACTTTTTTCAGTCGCTACCACCAGAACCCCAGAATATTTACAAAAATTTCGTGGTACCCCCCATAAGTATTGTGCAAATCAAACACGCACGTGAGTGAAACTGTAAATTTTTTCACTTGTACTGTAATATATACTATTTCAGTTTTGGGTCATTAATTTTAATTTCTAATTTTAAGACATAGAACAATGTGAAATTTTTAAATAAGTAACAGATGAAATGACAGCACCACGTGCAAAGCAAGGAAAATGAACGTTTATGTTATAAAAAGAATGCATCGAAACGTTTTCGTATTTTTTCTTTGTCTGTATTGTCTTATCTTTATCTATTTTCAGATACATTGTGTAAAAATATTTGGTAACTGTAAAATTATTATAATAAGTTAAAGAAATATCAAAATTGCTAGCTGAAATTTTTGGCGACCCCCTGCTGCAGGTCCCGTGACCTACAGTTTAAGAAACCCTGATCTAGTGAATCTCTTACGGCTGCCTTCTAGAAGTGTTCATATCCATGCAATATCCCATATGTCCATGGAAGGCTGTTACAAATTAAGTCCGAGGTTAAACCAGTATCTCAAAGTATGGGAATTTTATAGCCATTTACTTAACCTAAGCTGGTGTATGTAGCCATAATATCCCTAAAACTATTTTTAGAAATTTCATTTGAGGCTACAGTTTCTAAATTCCTTTTTAGTTAACACACTGAGGTTGTAGATTACAGTTGAATTCACATTCATGACAATGATGATGTGTCCATTTTGCAAATTCCTTTTCATAAGTTTTATTAGTAAATTGTGTTTAATTACAAACTTAATATTAAAATCTTTCTAGATTTCTTTAGCATTGCTTCTACTGTGATAGCTACCCTGCATTCTGTTCCCATTTTGATGACACTTTTGAAAATTTAAAACATGTTTTCTTGGAAATTCATTCTTAATTCTTTAAAGACCATATCGGCCCAGACGGCCTTTTATTCAGACGACCACAAACGGCCAAAATTCCGATGTTGGTTTCTTCCCTCCTCTAAGGTATTCAGTAGCAGGTGCAGGTTCCCCAAATGCGTTGTATAAGTTTATTGCAGACGGCTTGCCCTAAAATTATTTATTTGTGGTTTCTTATCTTTATTTGTTAGAAGTAGAAAGGATTTCATGTGATATCTTCATTCTTCTTTGTGCGTTAATGGATGGGGAGGGGAGGAAATTTCTGTGGCGCCCAAAAACCATTTCGGGCGGCTCATTATTTTAGCATACAGGTTAGCGACCTGTTATACATACAGTTCACTATTTTACCATACAGGCTTTGGTTTTTAAAGAGTTAAAGCTTTGTTTAATGCTCTCATATTTGTTTAATTTTTCTACTGTGTCCTATGTAGTTTTCAGTTTCATCCATTTGTCAAGAAAATGCTACCTTACTTCTGTTTCAATTTGATATTTAATTTCCTTGGTAACTGTTGAATCTTTCAGATTCCCAAATGTTTTTACCCCTAAATCTGCAACCCACACCAAAAGATAGCTCTAATGTTGTTTTTAGTCCAAAGGTGCTTTGTCCCTGAGGGACTATTGTTTTTGTTTCGGGATTTAGCGTCGAATCACTCTGAATGTCCCTTTCGCTTTTCAAATTGTTGCCACCAATATTATCGCTCTGTTTTATATTTGAAGAAATTAAATAATGAAGAGGCTGCATAAATGCGTGTATGTTTCTCGCATTGTGATAAAACAACGGTACCTAGAGCCATCCAACTTTGAATGACATAATCCTACTGGGAATATGGGCATCTGGAAGCCCAAATTTGAAATTTGTTTCATTATCGATTTCATATTTTGTAAAACTTTAACGAATTTTTGATTAACAAACTCAAACGATTTCAAAGCGAGCAATGGCAATTTTGTGTTAAAAAAAAAAAAAACTCCAGTGCGTGAGGCTGTATATCGGAAATTCTAAAGTTATGCTCAATTTAAAATTATTTTGCGATATCGCTGTCGAACTGACAAGTCCTTTCTTCCTTCTGTTGTGTAAAGTCATGGATGAGTGTGATTTTCAGTGTGCTACCGTGGTGTAGGAAATCACTGATGAGGAACAAAACACAATGATCTGAAGAATTTATGTAGTCAGTTATCAGAGATTTTGTGACAACTGTGGCATGTTTAGATTATTTTTTTTATAAATCATTTATTTGGTGATGATTGTGCACATCTCTTTTCCAGTGGCAACTATTTTTAATACAAGAGAGCCACATATATTTGCCTTGAATTGTGTGTTAAATTGTTTGCAAAATAACACTTATTTTGAGCATCTGTAGCTTCCTAATCCTCTGAACATCAGTCTTGTTGATAACAAGGCCCCCATTACCATCTATAAATTTAAAAGTACCATTGGTGCAGGAATGAAAATGTAGTTCCACTGTGACATTTTATTTCGATCATTCTGTTATGTATATAGCAACTGATACCATATTGCTACATCTACAATATCATTAATTAAGCTATGTTTGCTTGATAGAAGTGTAATTGAATTTAAATACTTGTTCAGTTACTATTAACTAAATTTTGTTATATTGGATTTAACATAAATTATTTTTACAATTTGTATATATAAATTAGATTCATAATAGGGATTGCCAAAAAAAGGGGGGCATATTTGGCAGATTGGGATCATATTGATGACTTGCGGAAAGTTATCCAAATTCAGTTTTGTTAAAATAATAATAATACATTTGAATAAAAAAAATTATGTTTGCCCAGAGTTATCAAGAGAAAGTGTTACATCCATATGATGACATGTAATTTATTTCTAAATCAAGTAAGCCTAGTTAAGGTATTTCTTGAAACTGAACATGCTAAATCTTGAAACTGAACTCACCAACTAATTTAATATGAATTCCATAAAAACATAATGAAATACCTTTGGAAGAGAGATTACATAGCAAAATTGTACTGTTAAAGATCTGAGTGTCTTTAAAACAATTGACAAAGAACTGAAACAATTATCTGCTGTGTTATGAGAAGGAAATCAACCAAAATTTCTGCTTGCAAAACAATCTGGCTTTAATTTTTTGCAGAACATATTCCTGATTCTGTAAGATGTTTGCTGCTGGGCTTTGTAACTTAAGAACTAAGCAATAAAAGCTATTAAAATTATGTTTATAGAAGCTCCTGAGTGTCAGTTCTATGTCAGAGTTTATCTTGAAGCACCTTTGAAAATCATTTGCTGCTGACTTAATTGTTCATAACTCGAAACGGTCATCCTCTGAGACATGTTTTGTTCAAATGATTTCTTTGTTCATGATGAGAGGCATTTGTAATCTAAGGGTTCCACTGTATTAGTTAATTTTGGTCTTTAAAAATGAGCTTCCTTTCCTTTTTTTTAGGGGAGGGTTGTTCTAATTTGATCACCGAAAATATTTTTGTTGTTAATATTTTTCTCTTCTGTGAGGTATATACAACAATTTCATATAAAAAAATAAAATAAAGTAAAATAGAGTCTTAACTTCTACTCTTCACCTTATGTTTTTCCATACTTAATATTGAAGTTGTGGGATTGCAGCCATTTGTGGAAGAAATTAACCATGCAATCTTTGTAAAACACTGTATAAACATAAAAACCATAGAAAGGGGCAATGTGAATATTTATTGTACATATGAAAAATAATATCAAATGAAGACAAAATTAAGTAAGAATAATCCAAAATATTTTTTCATGAAATTTAAGGTTATTATTTTTCAAAAGAGACTCTTTAGTTATTTTGTTATATTTATTATAAATGTTGTTGAAAATTTTCATGTATTGATTATTATTTTAGGCTCAAAAGACTTGTTTCAGCATTCTGAGGAAGATGGTGGAGTTGTGGGGAGGATCAGATGGTATTGCTGGATTTGTAGATTTTATGTACAGTAATATAGTGCCATCATGTTTTGTTGCTCCATTGAAAGAAACTTTTGATTTAAATGATGCACAGACAATTTTGGCTCTTTCGGAGAGTGCTTTATGTCTAAAAACTATATTAGACAAAAGAGGAGATGAGTTTGTAACTTACCTCAAAAACAGTTATTTGCCCACATTGAATGTGTCCTCAGAAAAAATAGAGGAGTATTGCCAAGCCTTAAAATCTGATCCTAAAGCTTTTAAAAATTATTTACGAGTAAGTAACATTTTTTTTTTCTGGATTATCGTATTGTCTTTTCCTCCCCTCTTCTATTCCTTTTTCAATTACTTGGATGTAAAATATCAAAAATGTGATTTGTAGACCCCGTTCTCAAGTTTTTTCATTTATCGTAATTTTCCTGACTAGTGAGTGCAATCTATGAATTTATATTTATGATGCCAAACTTTTTAATGTCCTTCCAAAAGTGGGATAAATTAGTATTTTCCTCTCAAAGTCCAGGGACAATATTCCAAGTGGGAATGATATATCTTTATTTTGTTTATCTTTTCTATCTTTATTTTTTTGGTGTTTTGCTCATTTTAATAACTCTCATCTAATAGTGTCAGTAAAATTTGAATTTCTCAGGAAGGAAAATGCACTCCTCCTTCTAACAGGAATAAATCTAAATTTTTATGACTCATTTATTAACATTATTTATTAACTCATTTATTATTTCATGACATTAATTTTTATGACTAAATTTTAATAAATTAGTTATAATTAATTAAAATTTAATTTGATAAATTCTAAATTTTATAACTAATAATTTCAATTTAGCATAGTTTTGTTAAGAAAAAGTTTCAAAATTTAGAGTTTACATGTCTTCTTGAAAAACATACACTGCCCCCCCCCAAAAAAATCACTTGTCAGTAATAAACCATTTTCTTAGAATTGAAACTTTAATGGGTTTTTATTTTTATTGTGGATGATTTTTGCCCTTTGCTACTTTGCTAATGGAAACTCTTTTTCTGATTTTCTCATAAATATTCAGTTTAGCACATTGACTGTGTCGTGGATATTCATTGTTCTTTTTGTGTGGTGGCACTTGAATTAGCGGTCCATTTCATGGGGTGGCGCAGCACCAAATTATAAAATTAAAAAATAAAATAGCATAAAATTAAACCATAAATTATAAAATTCCTCTTTTTATAATATAATAATTGTATTTTTTTATATACAAGCATATTTTAATAGGGTGACCCATCGGTGAGTCATGCCAGCCGGCAGAACAATCAAGCACCACCCCACGGAACAGACAAGTATCACCCACCAGTGGGTCAAACCGGCGTCAACATGTTAATCTGAGTTAGCATATGCAAATGCTAATTAAAGCTATAAAAATAATTTTTTATGTAAAAGATTACGTTACACTATGAAAGTAACAAAATTAAAGTAAAAGGAAAACTTCCAAATATACTCTTCCTATTCACTAAAATGTCTCTGACTTTATTTAAATATATAGATGCATTAGTATTAAAAAAAAAACTAATTTATTATTCATATTAAAAATGCTATGCTCAGATTTTTTAATAATAAGCTTGGAAGAAAAAATTTATTTTATCAAATGCAACAATAATACTGGTACACTGTGTTTGTTAATAAATATTAAAATTTTATATGCAACTTTTAATAAATTTTTATTAAACTGGTGCAGCCTTAAGCATAAGTTTCCTTTATTTTTCAGAACTAGATATGTAAACAGTTTTATGTAATTTTATTATCAAAGTTTTATAAGATTTTTCACTGGGAACATTCAAGTCATATTTGTTTTTGTAACATAGTCTGGTAAGTCAGTTTTTCTCTGATATCCAGTATTGGTAAATTAATGAAAGCACCATATCAGTAAAAGCATTAATATTTATTGCCAGTACATCCATATTTTCTTGTTGAACATGAAAACTGGCAAACATCCCACCAAACTTGTGACTGTCATTCCACCCAATTTTTAAGGAACAAATTGCTTTTTATTTAGTTAAATCATCACAGATCATTCTTTTTAATTATATGATCAATAGATACAGTATATAAAAACAAATAAACTCAAGCTTTGAAATTACATGATAAATTCATTAACACTTGTGCAGTCTTTCTAGTGGCAGAAAATCCGTAATTACATTTAAAACAACAAAATGCAGTGACTCTCAAAAGTGTTCGTACACTTATTTTCATTGAAATAGGACTCTATCCATTAATTAAATTTAAACTTTCTGATTGAGATTTTAATAATAAGATCTATAATCTATTCATAACAAAAATACATGAAATATTTTTTAAATATAGCGAAACTTTATTTTTAAGAAATTAATATAAAAAAAATGACAAACATTTTATCTCGCAAAAGTCTTCGTGCATTTAAAAAAAATCTTGACATATTAGTAAATATTTTCATTTTTTGTTAAATTAATATTTAGTGGGATATTCTTTAGCCTCCACAACAGCTTTAAAACGTCTCGGAATATATTTTACTAGTTTTTTTTTGTAATTTCTGCATTTCATGACTGTTTTGAGTTTGCTTTTCGTTTTGATGTGGTGTTTTCGTACTCTAACCTCCAGTTCTTTCCAGATGTGTTCTATGGGGTTTAAATCTGGCAGCTGAGGTGGTGTTTTCAAAACCTGTGGATAATTATGGAGACACCACAGGCGAATGTTGAGAGCTGTATGCTTAGGATCGTTTTCATGATTAAAAATAAAGTTTCTTTCCAATATCCAAATTTTGGACTGAAAATTTTAAATCGTCTCTTAAAATACTTAAATAAAGAGAATGATTCATTATGCCATCAATAAATACCAAATTCCCTAGTCCTGATGCTGCCATTAACAGCATGAGGGTGTTAGTTAAGCACCCTCATGCTTAACTAACACCTCCACCCCCATGCTTAACTGTTCCAACTAAGTTCTTAGAATGAAGCTTTTCATTTTTCCTTCTCCCTACAGTTATTTGACCATTGGAACCAAAAATGTTAAATTCGCTTTCATCGGCAAATAGAACATTATTCTAGTACATTTCAGTGTTATTTATCATTGATTTTGCGAATGAAAGCCTAAGCTTTCTGTTTTCCTTGCTAACAAAATTTTTTTATGGAGAACTCTTCGAACAGTTTCAGATGAAATTAAAGTAGAAAACATTGCATTAAACTCTGCAGAAACTTTTACAGCACTCAAATGTAGGTTTTTCACAAATTTTCTAATAATAAATCTCTTATCATGTTTAGTTAACTTTCTCGGTCGACCTTTACTTATCTTGTTTTCAATCTGATTTTCTTCTTTAAAGCGTTTTATCACATACAGCACTGTAGAACGAGATAAATTAACTAATTTAGTGATACTTTGAATTGATTTACCACTTTATGACTGCAACCCATTTTTCAATACTAAATAGAGTATTATGAAGTAAACAATAAAAAATTAAAGCAAACAAATTTTTAAATGCCACCACAATGCAAAAATTAAAAAAGCGTCAAACGATAATTCTAATTTTGATTTTATCCAAAAATATTTCAATGTATAAAGACTTTTGTGAGATAAAATGTTTGTCATTTTTTTATTATTAATTTCTTAAAAATAAAGTTTTGCTATATTTTAAAAATATTTCATGTAATTTTGTTTACGAATGGATTTTAGATCTTATTATTAAAATCTCATTCAGAAAGTTTACTTTTAATTAATGGACAGAGCCCTCGTTTCAATGAAAATCATAAGTGAAATCATAACGAAAATCATAAATGAAAGTCATAAAACGAACATTTTTGGTAGCCACTGTAACCTTTTTTGTTAACTCAGAGCAACTTAAATTCACTTAAGTAAAAATCTAAAGTGGTGTTGTGCAATTCAGTGGTGCCTTTTTATTGTACCATTTTGTTGTATGCCAGAGTCTTTCAATGTTTCAAGTATGAACACCGGTATCAAGACTTACAAAATTATAAAAGTGATTAAAATAATCAAACCTCATAATTCATTAATTTTTCAGGCCTATCCAAAATAACTGTAAATACATAAAACAAAGCAATCTACTATTTCTCACAGAGGCTTATCGAGAATTAAATAAGAGTTATGCAAAACTAAAGCAAAGATTTCAGTGTGTTGTGATGTCGTACTCATTCGTTATTGGCAATAAATTGCACTCTTTGGCAATAAGTCAAAATGGTCTATAATAAAGCATGCAAGTGCTGTTGTAGTGTTATTTAAAGAAAATCCATATTAACACACATGTTTTCAGCTCAAAACGTTTGGAAAAACTCCATCAAAAAGTGTTCATAAATTTTTTTATTTAATTCAAAATTACTATGAAATTCGTATTTTTGACTTTGAAATATGCTTAAACTCTATAAATATATGGTGTAAAAAGTAAATAAATTATCAAATAAAACATATTTTAATATATTAAGTATTATTTACACATATATTTAAATTTGCTCATTAAAGTAAACAAATGTATTTAGTAATATGAGCACTTATACAATTCCCCCCTCCAAACCAGTTGGCTCACTTATTTAATTAAGTGAAGGAGGCTCACTTAATTAAATATTTCCTTTTTGCTTATTTAAACAAATTTAGACATTTATTAAATAGTGTATATTACTGCTGCTGTATGCGCATTTTAAAGTTATTCGTGTATTGTATTTGTTTTATATTTTGACTTTCTTTTTCAGTGTATGTGTACATATGTGTCTATGTATAACTTGGTTTGGGGAATGGAAAAATTGAGAGATTAAAAATTTCATAACAATAGTAAATATTAGTACTGTTGTTAATATTACAATAGATATATGTTATCGCTTTAATATGCATTACTTAAATGAATAACTGCTTGATTTTGAGTTGTTCAGCATGTCCCACTTTATAGCAGTCACAGATTGTAAAAATGGACTTTTGCACTTTTTAAACAAGGATGGTAAAAGAATTTTAATTAGGCTTTTTAGTAAATCATGCTGTGATTTCTTCCTCCTAATGTAAATGCCACTGGAAGCTTCCCCTCCCCAATTGCTCATATGAATTTGGTTAGTATAACATGATATTTTTATAATCATGTGCAGTTTTTTTAATGAGTATTTTTCCTTTTCAGTTTTTCTTCCAGAATGCAAGAACATAGCAAGAAGTATATTAGTTCTTTGAATTTCAAGATGCTAAAAAATGTATTTGTGGACTATTTTAATTTTGATAAATCAGATGTACAGTGTAAAAATGTAATATATATGGATGTTTTGACTTACAGAGATGACATATTGTACATTCTGTATATGAGAAAATTTTTATATTTTTACATGTATGTGAGTTTTTTTTTTTTTTTTTTTTTTTTTTTTTTTTTTTCCCCTGTTAATATGTTAAAAGAAGAAAATGTCCTTGATGAATTAAAAAGTTCGTATGCTTGAGGTTTTCTGCATTAAGCCCAAAACTAAATGCCAAATATTGTTTTTTAGTGCAGTTTTAAATTTTGCACTATATGTGACTTTTTATGTTATTTTCAGGATTTTATATTCTCCTTACAAGATACTCTGATTAGAATTTGGCTTTTTAGATACATGACTTCAGCATATTCTCTCATGCAACAAATAAAGCCGAATTAAAATTATATAAATATCGTTTCTAGTGCCTTAAGTATGAAATTAATAGTAAAACTGAGTATACATGATTCCGTACTCCTTTAATTTGTATAGTTATGTTGATCATATAGTACTAAAGTGTTCACATGGCAAATAAATTTTTATACCAAATATTTTGTCATTTTATTTAATGTAGCTTTTTATATCAGGATAGTCTTTTCTTCATTTTTCTATTCCCTTGTTCTTGCAATGTAATTGATGAAATCAAATGTGTACTTTAGCAACATTAAGTATATGTATATTTAAAATAGATATATGTTCTCCACTCTCCCCAAAAAATATCAACATGGCAACATTTGTAGTAGTTCTATTTTTAATGCAATTTTGCCTGCATAGCTCCCATAGTTGGAAGCACTACTACATGTGTATTTCTCATAGGTCCTTCAACTGCTTAATCATTTGAATCCTGATATTTTTAACATTTCAAAGCGCAGGCTACCCTAGGAAGCGGTAAAAATCACAGTGAAAATATTCAAACTCTCTGATTAAATACCCGCTAGCTGTTCACAAACTACACTCATGTCCAAAATTATCTTTACATACCCAAAAATGATGATATTCAATGAAATATCTAATCAATGTGATCCGTATTTGCAGGGAATGTGTGAAAAACAAGCCTAATTAGCATTATCCTATCAAAAGTAATCAAACGGTTTGTGATATGCAAATCTAGGCGTTACGTCATCCAAGGGTGAATCAAGCGATTTGTGCAAACTGAATATTTGAGTGAATTTCTGCAACATAGCGTTTGATTTCAGTGTGTAGGGACTCAAAGCGGTTTGTTATGGCTTCGAAGTATCATTTGGAAGAATCTGTAAAGTGGCGAATTATCGGCCGTTTAGAAGCAGGGCAGTCAATCATGGAAACAGCCACATGTCTGAATATTTCAAGACAGTCTCTAAGCTATGGAAACAGTTCAAAATGATGGAAGTGTTGTAAGGAGGCCTGGACAAGGTCGGAAAGGAATGACAACTGCTTCTGAAGATTGGTATCTGGCATTAACTGCCCATCGTAACAGAAAGGCTACTGCTCGCCACTTAAGTTCAGAGCTTGCAGCTGCCACTGGAACTGTTGCATCACGGCAAACAATATACAGAAGGCATAATGAAAAAGGCCTTTATGCCAGAAAGCCAAGGGTATGTGTTTTACTGTCTTCACAGAAAAAGAGGAATCGCTTTAATTGGTGTAAAGAACATCAAAACTGGACTGAACATCAACGGTCCCATGTTCTCTTTACTGATGAGTCGCGGTTTAGTTTAACTGGTGATTCTAAACGTGTTTACATCTGGAGGGAGTCAGGAACACGAAATGATCCCTCGAATATTGTGGAACGTGACCGTGTCGGTAGTGAGGTGTGATGGTATGGGGTGGAATAATGATCGATGGACGTACGCCCCTACACGTGTTCAGCAGCAGATCTGTGACAGGCCAGATATATCGAGATGAGGTCTTAGATCCTTATGTAAGACTTTTCAGGGGTGCATATGGACCTGACTTTTTATTTATGGATGATAATGCCCGTCCACATCGAGCAAACCTCGAATTGAGATGAATTCCTTGAAAGTGAAGACATTAAGCGAATACCTTGGCCACCAAACTCTCCTGACCTTAACCCAATAGAGAACTTTGGGACTACCTTGGAAGAGCAATTGCACGTATACATCCTCCTCCTAGAGATGTAAATGCTCTGAAGACGGCATTGCTGGAAGAGTGGAGATTAATTTACCAAACTGTGGTTAACAACGTTATTTCCAGCCTTAAAACATGTTGTGATATGTGTGTACAAGTCAGGGGAGATCATATTCCATATTAAATTCGTAAGATTTAATTCTTTTTCTGAATCATTCCTTTTTTTCTTAACTCTCTATGTCACACTTTATTACCATTTTTATTGTTTCATGCTACAATTTTATATCATATGAGTTGATCTCAATTTTTTCTTTTGCATTTATGTGTCATCATGTTATGTATGATTCCACGAAAATTCATTAAATTATAAGTCATAGTCTCTGAGAAATCCGTGAATTTATGCATGTAAACATAATTTTGGACATGAGTGTATTATGCTATTATAGTGCAAAATTCATCTTCTTTCTAACTAGTGTGCTTGCTTATATTATAAGTTACTTTACATGCATCTCAAGGTTTTTCTTTTCATAGGCTGCATTTAAAGACTGCCTTGTGAGAAAAATTCAAGATATATAATTCCTTGAAATTTTTTTAAGCCATGCTTTTATGACATTATTTGAGTGATTCTTAACTTGGTGCGAGAGAAATTTCAAGAATTTAAAAAAACAAAGAAGGAGGGTACCATGCATCCTACAAACAGGAACGATTAGAATGTAAACAAAACCAACCTATCGCTTCGGCAATAAGTCGCGATGTTTCATGTCTTCATTAACATTGCATTGTGTATATCAGGGAGGCTTACTCCATTTATTCTAACCTCCTTCCTCAGCACATCAGTCATCAGTACACGCAGTTAATGTAGTCACATTGTGACATGCAGTACAGAAACTAGTTGAGACATGTTTCCATACCATGAATAAGAATGTAAACAAGGTTTGTAAGAATATTTGCTTTAATTAATTAATGCCATGTAGTATTTATTGAAATTAAATAAATTTACCCATCGATAAAAATTTATATCAATTTATTTTGTCAAATTGTAGTAACTCTCATTATGCCAAAAAAGCATCAATAGAAAGATGATTATGTCACTAATAGATTCACTGCCCGTTTCAGTGACAAAAGGCAATGATGTTTTGAATCACATTAATTTTTTTTTTAACACGAAATATACAGGAGTATTGAGAGGTTCAATTTGCATTGATGGTACACCTGCAATGTTGGATAAAAATTCTGGATTTATTTCATGTACTAGCAGCTTCGCTGCCAGCATTCGTCTGGCTTTTAAATGTAGTGGAAAAATGGTTAAAGGGAACGCCAAACCAATTTAAAAACTGCGTAGAATTTTACTCTGCAGAACAACTTCATAAAAAAAAGTTATTACGTATAGTAAAATTACAATGAAATATGCAATATCCCTTAATATAAATATTAATTATCCTAATAAATAAATTAACCAACTTCCCTTTGCAAAATTTTAAGAACTCAAATGGTATAAAGGAGGTTAAAAACTTTGTTTCCTAAAAATATCACTCGAAACTTTTCAATGTCTTAAAAAAAGTGAAATGAGCAATAAATAACATAAAAGTATACAAAAAACAAAAAATTCTGAAAAGCAAAGTATAATTAATGATATTTTATCTTATATTTTCAAGAGAAAAAAATTAAAATGAAATAAGCTATCCCTTAATACAAATATTAATTATGGTAATAAAAATATTAACCAACTTTCCGTTGAAAAACAAATCATGCAAATCTTTTCAATATCTTACAAACAGTGAAATAAGCAAAAAATAACATGAAAGCAACTCAAAAAACATAAAATTCCGTACAAAATTTTACTCTGCAGAACAACTTTATCAAAAAAATCAATAAAAATGTATTATATGTATATATAAAAATGACAATGAAATATGCCAATCTCTTAAAAACAGTGACATAAGAAATACGATGAAAAATTGTTTGCAAACCCATATTTCTAAAAGAATGAAACTATTCAAAATGATCCGATTTCATCTAAAATCTATCAACAAGAATAAGACAGGAAAATTGTTGCCAAAATCACATTTTTAAAGATGTGAGAAGTGTACTCGGAAGCTTCATTTAAAATTTTTTTAAAAATACAAAATGTTATTTTTCAAAATTCTTTTTGTAAAAGCAGTTGAAAGGATGAAAGTTTAACATATCAAGAATCAAAGAAAAATAAACTGTTTTAGAAAAAATCCTGTTGAAAAGGTGTTAAGCTCCCTTTTATAATAAATTCGGATTTAATCGATTTATTGAAAACGAAATTTATTTTAAGTTTATAAAATAGCTAAGTGCCTACGTTTCATGACGATGTGAAAATGGAGTGTGTAGAGTAAAATCTCGCTTTTCTCTAGCCCTTTATGTCTCATAATGACGCGATTTCGTCACAAAACATAACAATGAAAAAGAATTCGAATTTCGAAAAAATCGCTTCGAGGTGCACTGGCTCGTCTAGATGCACCTATGTACCAAATTTCGTAGCCGTGGGTCTATTAGCTTACGCGCAGCGCAAACAAAAGACACACACACAGACTCTGTTTTATTATATGTAGAAATTAAGAGAGAAATACTATGAGTTGCAATTGCACATTACATGTTTCATCATCATGCATTTGTATCAAAAGCTGTCAGAGAATTTGAAACAATATCTAATTACAGCAGTTAACGTAGTTAAGTAAATGAGGATGAGCACTTAATCATCAAATTTTTCATGCTTTGTGCAAAATCGGCACTGTTCATATTGTGCTTCTTTATTATACATAAGTACAGTAGCTGTCCAAGAGCCACATGTTGACCAAGCTTTTTGAATTATGCGAAAAAATTATACAGTTTCTTAAACCAAAATAGTGATTTAGTGGAGGCTTTTGAAAATGGAAATGCATGGCTTTGGCTAGCTTACATAGCAGATATATTTAACCACATGAGTAAGTTAGCACTTCAATGGAAAGATTTGGCAAGAACATAATAAAAGCTAGTGAAAAATTAGCTTCATTTATTGGAAAATTAAAATTTTGGAAACGTCAAGTTGAACATGGGAATTTGGATTGGATTTTGGGAATTGGATCGTTTTCGAAAACGAAAAAATAATAGTTATATCAAAAATTATAATACGTCTTCAGCAATTGAGTGAATCATTTGATGGGTACTTTTCCATGAGAAATATTAGCAAAATAGATAGATACTTAATCTATTTTTGTTTTGTTTTAAAGTGAATGAAAGACAATGATTTTTTAAAAGAAGATGTATCAAAATATGAGCTAATAGACGTATGGAAACTAAAAAACTAGACTTGTAGCAATTCTGGTGTAAACAGATAGAAGCTTATCCGCAAATGCAGCATTAGAGACACTTTTACCATTTGCCACCACCTCCCTTTGTGAAATGGCATTTTCAGCACTTTGCACATCAAAACAAAAGCCAGAAATTCCCTAAATTCTGATGTGGACACCTCATGACT